CTTTGGTATGTCGGCAGGCTCAACCGGAATCTGGTGGTATGCCTTCACCAAGTCGATCTTGGAGAATATCTGGCAACCAGCCAGATTCGTTGTGAAGTCCTGTATGTGGGGTAGCGGGTAGCGGTCAGGCTGGGTGTTGGCATTGAGGGCGCGGTAATCGCCACATGGTCTCCAGTCGCCTGGGTCTCTCTTGGGGACCATGTGCAGTGGGGAGGCCCAGTTGCTCGATGATGGACGAACAATGCACAATGCCAAGTTCGAGCATATGCTCAAACTCACGACGAGCAATGGCCAGGCGTTCTCCAGACAGCCGTCGAGGACGAGCGAAAACAGGGGGCCCAGAGGTGACAATGTGGTGAGTAATGGTGTGCTTCACCGGTGACTCCCTTGTGTGTGGCCTCGTAAGGTTCGGAAAATTCGCGAGAATTTTCTCATAGGCCGTTGATGGTGAAAACGCTCTAAGTCCTGTTGCCGTGGTCGTAGAGAGCACGGGGCAACTCCGCTTCATTTTCGATGCTGAAAAAACAACGCAGTTCTCTTTAGTATCACCTAGAAAGACTACACATCAAGTTTTACGACGTAATTAAGCCTAAAAGTTTGTTAAACTGGTAAACAAAGTTTGAGATGCCTCAAGTCTCCGAAATCCGCTAATTCTGGCGGCCGATGTGCGGCGCAGAGAACAGCGCAGTCAATACCGCGTGTTGGCACAGCCAACACTGCGCCGCACGTCATAGTCAGAGCCGTATATGTTGAGAGTTTGGTCAATGGGAGGTGCGGGCAGAATCAGGGCGTGCTGCAGAGTCGGAAAGAGGGCTTGGCATGCTCTCTTGACCAACCAGAAGCCGAAAAGAATCCCCTAGCGGTGGTAGCGGCAAACAGTTCTGATCAAAAGTCTATGTTCGTATATGGTTTTAATAAGCGCGTAAGAGTCAAGTGTAGTAACTCTTTGTGGTTGAAAATAGGGTGCACGTGTTGTTTTGACCATGATCATGCAGAAAGATGTAAGAACCGAATGCGCCGCGCAAATCTGTTTTGCGCGGACAGAGTGTAACCGCTCGGACGGCAGATTCCCGGTCCTCGGCGCTTGGCGTACGGATTATGTCGATCGTTCCGCTAGTCGCACTCTTCCACCACCATTTTGGATTAGCGTGATTGAAACATCACGTGTACCATATTTTCAGCCATTGAGAGTTACTCCATTGCAGTTATCAGGTTTGTTTCTCGCGACCACCGCCAGGGTATTATTTCCGGCTTCTGGTTGGTCACATTCAAATTTCTGAAGACGCCCTGGAACACGCCCAGCCCGCTTTCGGCCAATGGCGCCTCCTCATTTGTCTCCTATACTTCCCAACGAATGGCCAAACTCTCTGCATTTACGGCTCTGGTCATAGTCTGGGACCGCTTTTTTTCTTGTTTTTTACTTTATTGAGGCGCAGCCTACAGGCGGCGCCAGCAGCGTGCATACCGATGTCCACGTGATCCAAAACGCGCATGCGCTGATGAGCGTCTGAGCGAGCGCTCCGCGCTCGTCGTCGGGAAGACCGAACCTGCTGCGTCTCGGAGCAACGTCTTGTGCTGCGATGCCTGGCATATTACGAGTGGTTTACTTAACTTCAACTACTAATGGTTCCAAAACATAACTTTAAAACAACTTGCCTTTTTCTTCGTCAAAACACTCTGCTGCCGCGGTAGTGCACACGTCGTTGGATAGCAGAGACCGTGGAGCAGACGACACGGCGCGACGACGCTTGCTCCGCCGATCCGTCCGTCCGCGCGGTCGGCGAGGTCGTGCGGTGACGTTCGTACCACGTAGGTTGTCCCAGACTATGACGACGCGGGACCAATGTTGCCAGGCGCGGGCGCAGTTTCGGTTTCGGTTCGTGATCAGGAGTAAAGAAGGATTACGAAAATTATATTTCCTTTTTTGAGAAACAAACGACGTCGAGCCGTTTATTAGTATATCTTAATGTATAATCACCAAAAACCCCGAAATTCCTGGAATTGAGCGGAGTTGTCCTTTACGGAGAGGCATGTCGTCAGGTCGATGAGGCGTCGTGAATGAATGTCGACGGCCAGTTTGTAGAAGTTGAGAAAGTCCGCTCCCAGGATAGCCTGCTTGATGTCGGCGACGATGAACAGCCACCGGAATGTGCGGCGCAGTCCAAGGTTGATTGTGAGGGACCGCTGACCGTAGGTGGCGATAGATGAGTTGTTGATCGCTTGGAGCGGGGAGGTCTTTTGATTGCGTTGTCGGTCCAAAAGAGAGGCCGGTAGAACGCTGACCTCGGCTCCTGTGTCAACAAGAAAGCGATGGCCAGCTACCTTGTCAACGACATAAAAGATGCGGCTTTCCTGTCTACCGGTGTCACTTGCCGCCGTCAGTGCCCGGTCTTCATAGTTTCCCACCGAAGAGCAGGGTTGGCTGCACTTGCGGGCATCGTTGCCGAAGGTACGGTGGTACCAACACACGCCCGAGCCCGAGCCAACTTGACTGCTGTTTGAGAAGGCGGACCGCTCTACTGAGTTTGAGTGGGCACGCAGGCTTCGGCGGGAGTGTGACCGCTGTTGACGACGTCGTGACAAGGGTGCGGGGGTGGCAAGCTGACGACTCATGGTTTCGACATGGTCCTCAAGGCGCGACAGTCTAGAGTCTTCTGATGTTGTTGCGGGAGTTCTATTGGCGACAGCGCTGATGCCAGCGGCCCGCGAGTAGTCGGCGACGCGGTCGGCAAGCTCAGCGAGCTTGTCGAGTGACATGTCTTCCGCGGCCGCCAGAACTGGAACCATGGTCGATGGGAGCCGCTGTAAAAACAACTCACGCAGGAGGTGGTTGTTAGGGTCTTGGTTCTGGGTTCCCAGCAGCTGACGCATGCGATGGAGAAGCTGGGATGGGCGTCTGTCACCGAGCTCCTCGGTGTTGAGGAGTTGTTGAAGTCTGCTGCGCTCCGACTCGGTCTTGCGGTCAAGGATGGCGGCCTTCAGTTGGTCGAAGGGGTTGACCGGATCCGGAGCGGCGAGAATGTCGGCTAGCTCCTTGGCGACGTCGGCTGGCAAGCAGGACACGATGTGAAGGTACTGCGTCTCCTGGCTGGTGATGTGCCGGAGACGGAACTGGGCCTCAACTTGCATGAGCCATACGATCGGATTTTTCGGCCAAAATGGTGGTAGCCGAAAATTCTGGACCGCTGCCAAGGTAGACTGGAGGGCGTCGCCGTCAGGAGCGTTGGACGCGCCGGAATGAGCCATGAAGCACCAGACCTTGAAGGAGCGAGTTCGATTCCGGGTCACCAAATCTGTTGGGAGCTGGGACGAAACGAACCAGCTCGGACAGCGTTTGGATTCGAACTGTTTTAATCGCTCGCGCTGCAGAGGCAGCTGAACCTCGTCGTCGTCGTTCATGGCGAAGGCTGGCTTTGAGTGTCGCTACACTTGCAACACTGACTAGAACAAACTACCTGACCATTTTGTAACTGAGAGATATCCCATTTCATTGAAAAAGTGCATCAATTGGTGTAACTGAACTTTGATTTGTAAAACTGCATCATAACAATAACATGCTAATAAGCGGTTTTGTGTGTGTGTGTGACATTTTCTTTTTGTTGGTGTCTCTTTTATGTTCAATTACTATTTTGTCTTTTATTTATTTGAATTCCCCCTGATGTAATGCGTCTTTGGATGCCTTTGAGGTGAATTTAAATAAATGAACTGAATGCCTCTGCATCATTTATCCAATTGTTACTTCAGTTCGTTTTATCTGGTCCTACAACTTCGATTATTGTCATTTCATAGTGATTCTTTTTTATTACACAAGTCCCATGTCGTTCAGAGATAATTACACCACCCAGTTTATCGCTTAAAAAATAACACATCTGTCTCAAGATATCACTTTCTTGTATTTCACTACAATAATTGTAGGTTATAAGAATTTTCCTGCTTTCTAAAATTGGTTCTTTATATCACTCGGCGTTCACAGTTTTCACGTTAGCTCATAAAAAATAAATAGTGCGAAAACCCGCGTTTCTACGACGTAAAAGCTACGCGCGAAGCCTTCAGCTCAGCTCTCTAGCGCGGCGCTCGTTAGAGCACTATATAGCTCCTACGGAGCAGAGTAGCGCAATCCTTTGAACCTCGTGTTTTGCCGACAAGATGGCCGACAGAGCGGCTCGGCGCGAGTCACGTGGTACTCAGGGTTCCAAGAGGCGGCCCGCCCTATGGGAGAATACATGGAGATCGATACAACACGGCTGATTAAAAAATGAACGGCGAGTTCACACTTTTCAAAACTAGTCTGTCGTGAAGTTAGTAAAGCACTAAACACTTTATCAAAGTTTTAATAATATCGGATGCGTGTGCAAATTTTGAGAAGGCAATTTCCAAGGCAATGGTGTTTGAAGCAGACGATTTTTGCTCGCAGCGGAGATGGGCTTTTCGGGTTGGCCGGAGCGGGTCACGTGAATGGTGTGACGTCGCCGTGTCGTCTGCTGCATGATGCCGCTCAGGCAATTTTTAAAAAAAAGTTACGTCCTTGTATGGCACAAAACTTATCGCATATTATTCTAAAATGTTTCATTATTATGTCAAAAATGATTTCCATTCCGCACATCCCCACACAACTGAAGAAACAACGATTTTCTCACGTTCTCCATGCATTTCTGACCGCAGTTGGAACCTCCGGGCGTTCGCCGCTAGTCGCCGAGAGACGGCGTTCTAGATTGCGCTACTCTGCTCGTCAGCCTGCTGCCGTGACGTCACCGGAGGCGTGTGCTGGCCTTCTCCTCTAGGTGGTGTTGCGCAGGCCAACGCAGGCCCTCCTCCTAAGAGGAAGTTTTTGAAATAAACGTGTAGCTGAGTTTGAGACCTGTCTGTTTTTTCTGTTCCTTCTGCTCTTCAAAAAAACCCCCCCAGTCTCAGGGTAAACGACGAAATGGTTGACTTCCACCAGCTAGCCTGTACTTTGACTCTTTTCTCCTCCTCCCCCATTTCCGGAGAGAGGAGGAGAGCCCGCGCGCACTCAAAATGAGAGAGGGAACGCAGGCCTGTACCTTCCACTGCATTGCCAAGAAAAGTTGTCGCGGAGTATAGCGTTTATTATAATAACTCTATGGTTGACTCCAGGCCTCACGGAGCTCCAAATTTGTAACAAAATACGAGCGTTTACTTCTCTCGCTATCAAAAAACCGTGCAAGAACCCCAAACCAAAAAAGAAGCATAGTTTGAAGGCTAATCTCGATCCAAAGCAATCCAAAGTCGACTTGTTAAAATGGCGGAAGACAGTCGTTCCTCGGATGCTCCAACGAAAGATGACATGTCCTTCCAGTCGGAGGGAAACAACAACGCAACCAAATCTTACAGTTCATCGGAAAGAAGCAGAAATCGAGAAAATTCTGACTCGATGATGGAGGGAGCGCTAGAAATTGGAGAACACTACATGGTCCGCCGCTGCGACGAAACTTGGCGTGAGTTGGGATGGAGCCTTGTGTCAACCAATCGTTGGATACAACGATGGTTACCTTCACAGTTACTGCTGCTGTTCATTGACCTATCAAAACACTTATTTGTATCTGACAATTTGATCTTTTCAGACCCCGCGGAAATTATTCAAGTTCGGCCCTGCGACCAAGATGTCGGAAAATGGGAGTACTACGTTCACTACGAGGGCTGTAAGTTTTTCCGTTTCTGATTTGTTTCCACGTATTTTTATGGGTATGATGTATCGTAGCAATTTATGAGAATTATGTACAGCAGAGGAATTATGTACAGTAAGCTAGACGGAAACTGATTCACACCGCAGTCGCCGTATCTCGATGACGTAACAGTGCGTGCGCATATATATATATGCAACTTGTTCGATAGTTATTAAAGTTATGATTTAGCAATATGCTGGCAGTGTATTGGCCAGATTGTCTTCTACCAAGGCCTCGAAACTTAAGGGCGCGAAAAATGTTTCAGTAAAATTTTGAGTCAACTTCTCTTAACTTCCTTTAAAGGGCAACTCCGCTTAATTTCAAAAATTTTGAGATAGTGGCCGATTTTGCTTTTTGAAGCACTCAAAAACAATCCCCAATCCTTTGTTTCGCGAAAAATAAAATATTTTTCGTGTAATTTTACTCTAGCCATGATCACAAACCGAAACCGAAACGGTGGCAAAGCCGGACAACATTGTATATTCGGCATCACTAAGCATGTACACCCACGTGACATACAAGGGGAAGAAGGAGCTCCCCTCTTATCAGGATCCTCCTTTGTGCCTCCTGGATTAGCACAGGCGTCGCTATTCTCCTCCCAGAAGATTATAGAAGATTAACCTGTCACTCAAAATTCTTACAAAGGCAGTTTCCCTCTCCTCCTTTTACTTGGTGTTCAAAAGTATGCGATGTAACACAAGCCGCGCTCAACGAGGCGATCGGCCTATCAGTAGTATCAATAGTCGAGCGCCGGGCCGGCCGAGCGCGTCACTCACGTCTTTCACGGCGCTGGCGCCACCCGTGCTCTCCCCGGGAAAGAAAAAAAAATAAAAAAAAAAAGAAGTTGTACATGCTTGATGACGTCGCGGACGTGCCGGGAGAAGGAATTTGGAGGAAGCGGAAATGCAGCCAGGCAGTGTTGTCTGGCCCGCACGTCTCATCCAAAACCAGCGGATTCGTGCTTGTCAAACTTTGACAGCGATTTTAATGAACTTCTAGGCGGAATTCCGTCGTAATATTTGCCATGGGGGTTTTGTAGATGATAACAAAGAGAACTGTATAGTTTTGCACTACTGGAAAAGAAGCGGAGTTGCCCTTTAAAAGCCACCGAACACCCAGGATGAGGCCCACGTATTTCACAAAATAACCCTGTCCCGTAAAAAAAAACAAAAAAAAAACAAACATTTTTTTGGCATGGTATTAACGTCGCGAGACACATTTTGAGCGATTCGTCGCAGCACTCAAAACGAGTCTCGCACCCCAAGTGCTGTAAGCATTTTTTTTTTTTGGCCGAGGCTACATCCACGCGCGGGGACGTAGCCAAGTCGGGAGGAGATAAGGCTCCATGGGCTCCATCCCACTGATCTCTATTTTAGTAGGCTGGATCGCGGATCGGGAGCCCGTCGGTGTCGCCACCGGCGGCCATTGCTTGACACCAGGCAATACACGCAAGTCTATGGGAGAAACACACAAAAGTAAGCATGTTGAAGCATATACGCTGTGCTCGGAGGCGAGTATCTTATGGTGCGCTGCGATTCTTATGCCGGGTGTTGGAGATCGAATCGGTATTTGTCAAACGTTCGAACGCCGATGAAAAAAATCAAACGTACCGGAGCACCTACGGCTGAGCTGGCAAGGTTGCTTTCGTAGTGAAGTAAGCAAAGGAACTTGCCGTCAATAAGACTGTCCTAAGGGAAGCCGAGAAGTTGGTGAATGACAAAGAAGTTCCATTTCGACAGTGGCTAAGCGAATTTCGCGTAGCAAAGCCTTCTAGCTTGTCGTCTGCTAAACCCAACTCAACGAAACCGTCACCGACTCCACGGCAACTCTAGGTAACTCTCGCCTCATTGAGCTGCACTACAGCGGAGTCACTCTCGACTACAAAATGTTTATTTATAAGAACTGCGAGGGCTGTCAGTTTTAATGTTTGTAGCCAAGCTATTTGGCGGGCTTATCGAAAAGCATCGAAAAAGTTATAGTGCCGACAACAGCTAAGAAACGGGAAAACCACTTTTTCTCGTTCTTTCCTTAGAGTCCCATGCATTGGCTGGTGTCAATCAATGGCCGCCGGTGGCGACACTCGGCCCCAGCTGCCGAGGCCGCGGTCCGCAATCCAGCCTACTGCAATAGAGATCAGTGCTCCATCCACGCAAAAGGTCACTTGACTTATAATATAAGGGGATAATTTGTTTTTATGTACATATTATGCTTTCTTATAAGTAAATATAGGATGTAAAAATAAAGAGGTTACATTTCATTGTTGTTTTAAAGTTCATATGTCACGTGACCTTACAAATTTTTAGACAATTCATCAATTGTTTACTGTTTTCTAAGACTAATAGTAAGTATCATGCATCATAAAAATAGTACCAATATATATCTTTATAGTTATGTTGTCCAGGAGTCACACAGACGAGTGGATGGCGTGCGTGCCATCCGTGCGTGCGGGCGGTGTGGCCTCCGGGGCCTTCGCTTATGTGTACATCGCTGCTGAGGCGAGGCAGAGAGGCTTCGTCGTGTGTGTGGTTGGCTTGGTTTGAAGCCTTTTAATGTGAGCTTATGTATATTGAGGGGGACAAGCACGTGCCCACCGCTCCGTACGTTCTTGACTTGCGCGCTTGCTCGCAATCACACAAAGATAGTAGGAAAAGGAAAAGCATGCGTTAGACCCATTAATAACAAACATACTGAGAGCATTCAATCGAGAAAACTGGGTAAAAGATTCTAGAAACAGTTTATTCCATGACAAATAAAACAGTAGCCGATGCACAGATGCCACTCGTCCACGAGATCACCGACAAACACGAAGCCCTTCTTGCAACAGAACCCCTGCAGGAGCCAGCTCACGTCTCTGTGCTGATCATTCAACGCCTGGATCTCGGCACTCTGACTACGCTGACACTCCATTGAAGAGAACCTGTTCTCCCGCCTCGGAAGGACAGAAGAAAAGACGATCTGTGTCGTCGATTGCGTTCCAAGATCTGAGCGGCCAGCCGACGATACTTGTCAACGTACGCGCTGGCACAAACGCTGGTGTTGTGTGTGCCAAAATCGAGCAGGGCATCAGACACCTTGGAAAACAAAGCCTCGATCCTAATGCCACTAAACGCCCGCACTTCGACAGCCATCCGGTTATTCGATAGGAAATACTAGGACAAGTATTTCACCGTCGAATCCCCGGAAACCAAAACTTGTGGCAGATCAGAAGCGCGACCATGCTAGTACTCAAACGGCCAAACTCCTTGTCCAAGAAAACGGGGAAAAAAAAGAAAAAACGCTTCAGAGAAAGTCAAACCTGCTTGCAGTAGACCAGGCAGGCACAGTGGACAGTGGTCTGCGCATGGCAGGAACGCAAGGTGCAATGGCCGCCGAGCAGATGGAAAAACAATGGGAGGCTAGACCGGAAGTTGATCGAAGTGCGCCGGAAGTGACGTATTGCGTGGATAGAGCCTTAGCTCCTCCAGACGTGGCTACATCCCCGCGCGTGGATGTAGACACTCCCTTTTTTTTTTACCCCCTTCAAATTTTATTTTTTTGCAATGGGTTTTATTTAGGCACCACAATTTTACTTTCTTTTTAGATTCAGTGATAATTTTTCCATCTTGCAGACAGTGCTGGATTAAGGCATTTGGGGGCCCTGGGCTGAGGATGTTATGAGGCCTCTACCTATGACAATGGTGGTGGTGGAGGTAACGATGACGACGGGAATATCTATATTTTTGGACTTTTTAAATCTAGATATGTTTCATCGTATGATTATTGTCAAGCCTTGTTTAGATCCGTAGATTCAATGGAATTCAAGTTTTCCTTGCTGGCATTGAGGCGGATGCGATTGTTTAGAAGCTACTTCGCAAATAATCAACCGCTCTATCAATTTACAATATTGTAATTTTGAGGTACAAAAATGAAATCAAATAAACATTGCAGAAAATATTAGGATTTGTCGTTCACATCCAGCAACTTAACCACAAAAAAAAAAAAAAAGAAACACTAAATTGTTTTCATTTAAAATGCTGACTCCGTTCATGAATTTGTTTGACTAGAATTACAGCTGGATTCATAGGGTACATGTCCGGGCCAGTTTATACAAATTGGTCATGATGTCAACTTGTAGCACAGGTGACCCTGTTTTTAACATGACAAGTGACATCATTAATGACACATGGATTGAGTTATGCAGCAACCGAAAAGGTACCTGCAAAATTTCCATTCTAATTTCGCTTCCCCTAAATGGCATGCCTCGCAAATCGACAACTGCCACGAAAATCTAGAAAATCTAGAGCCCTTATTCTTGTAATCGTTCCAAATTATTGGAAGTGTTTTATTTTCTAACTAGCCCTCTGTTGATTAATTACTGGTGTGAACAGTGAAGGAAGTGATATATGCAAGAAAGAAATTTCATTAGTTGAAGCAGTCTTTATCGGGATCAAACAACTTCGTAAACGCTCTTCTAATAACTGAACACTCATTTCGCAAACAAACACAGACTTCCACATTTAAAGCATAGGAGTAACTGCTTGTGATTCAAAGACATTGACCGCTGTCGTTCGGGCACATTTGCATTTAAAGAATTTATCATGAGAATCGAGAAGATTGTTCTCTTTTTGTACGTACACGCTGTCTTTTTGAATGGGGAAAATGTTTCGCATCAGATTTAGTACTAATCTTGTTCTTTTTAAATGCAGTAATTTAGACCTCGGCGGCTATTTTGTTCTGTGACTCAACGATAAAAAATAAGAGGTTATACTTCAGAGGTTGGTGAAACCATTGCATTATTTGTATCAGTCGCTGGAAGGAAGAGTGTTCAGTTACACTGGCAGACCAGATATCGACTCTAGAGCACTTCCTTGCAGTCAATACCCACCGAAAACTGTTGAGGGGCGTCTTAAGAGTCGACTCTTTGAAACGCCTCTTTGTTGGTGGCTGTAGAGACGGTGTCCGGAAGATTTACGGGCACCCTTTTGCTTGTTCCAAACTTATCGTTCTGGAATACACTCCATATGGAGTTTTGCGAAAAGGTTTAAAACAACATGTGTGAACCATCTGTGTTGCTTGCTTGCGCTTTCTTAACTTCCTGCCCACAGTTGTCCGTAAAACACGCTAAGGGGGCCCCAGTACAAAAGAAAGCTCCATAACCGTCCTCCAATTAAAAAAAAGAAATCTAACAAGGGGCATGGGAGGCCGTGTTAAATTTTGTTGTTCTGGCACGCTCTTGTACAACGAGCTCACAAACGCCAGCTGATCTAGAGACAGGAACTTTATGGCATCCGTGGTTCCTTGGTGAGGCAAAAAGATCAAGAAGGCCATTGTGCCAGAGGCCCTTCGGAGTGTTTCTTCTGCTTTCTGCCTAAACTTTCTTAAATAAATAAATAAAAAAGACAAACATTTTTAAATTTTGAGGGGCCAGCATGGGGCCCCCTGACAGCCTGGGGCCCAGGGCTGCAGCCCCCTTAGCCCGTACCTTAATCCGGCCCTGCTTGCAGACAACCGTCGCCTGGACGAGTGGGTGGACAGAGACCGCTTCAACCTGTCTTCGTCGCAAAAGGAGGAAATGAAGAACCCGATGACGCAGGGTGACTGCATCGAGCAGTCCGACAGGAAGATCACCAGAAACCAGAAGAGGCGCCACGACGAGATCAACCATATCCAGAAGGTGCGAGCACCTCTTTGTCTTATCCCGACTGAGGTGCTTGCAATATGACGGAGGCTTATTGCGGAGAAGGCGCCGTGTAACCGAGCTTTTGGTTGCACGTCAAAAGATCCCCAGGTGGTCGAAATTAATCCTCAGTCCTCCGCTGGGGCGTGCCAGATGCCCGTCGTAGGTTTGGCACGTAAAACCCCCAAATTTGACTTTTTTGACCTCTTTGTCTGCGGGTTGCTGTTTGTTTGTCGACCAAAGCATTCGTCTTACGTCGTCGTCATTGTTTATCGAACCTTGGGTGTGATGCCCAAGTGGGCATTACGCAAGGGAAGAGGAATATTGTACATCATTACAGTCATGTCTCGCTAATATGGACCCCGCTGATACCCTACAACCGTAGAATACTGCGCATCCGCCCATTTCACACTAAGCGCCCATTTCCAAATTTGTAAGGTGTGAGAAAATATGCACAGTACATTGATATATAAAATTGATGACCGGACAAGCGCCCGTCCCCCATTTTTTTTTCGATTATCTCTAAATCTTGAATGGCGCTTGCCTGGTATTTTACGGTGCATAGATAAAGTTTTTGGGGCAAACTGGGTGAATACATATATTTTTGTCTCGTTATTATAGAGTACACATGTTATGTACAATTTTGGTGGGAATCAAGGTGTCCATATTAATGAGGCATTACTGTACGTGAAAGCAAACTTGTGAAGGCTGACTAGGGCTATAAATGTACTTTAAACATAGTATATGTACTCGCTACCATGGGGTGGTGTCTTCATGAGACCCAATTTATCACAATATCTTTCAAGTTATTGTGATAGTTTCAAGTTACGGAAATTAGGCCCTCGCGAGAATTAGGCCGTATACATTATCTGTCTTTTGTCACCTTTTAATAATCATAATTTGTAAACTATGGTCCTTTAAACTGTTATCCTGTGCAGCACTCAGTGTCAGTTTCTTAGTAGAGCAATAGGGAAGGTACAATATACTCTAAATTACGTACAATATACTCTAAAGGGCTTCATTTTTGCGGGCTCCATATTTCGTAAATTTTGGTGAGTGTCGGTTTTGAAACTATCTTGCAGTCACGAAAGTTTGAGAATTGGAGCGATACGCTATAGAATCACGACCATGGGGCGATATATCTGCAAGATAAATTTTGCACAACATTTTTTTTATGTTGTGAAATTTGTGAACATTAAGTTGTTTACAGTAATTTGGTTGGTGAACTTTCTTCTTGGATCACTGACATGCTGGTTTCTAAAAGCCTCCAATATTTCTCATTCTGTGCGCGGAACAGACGTACGCTGAAATGGACCCCACAACAGCAGCATTGGAGAAGGAGCACGAAGCTGTGAGTACCAGACCTCCACATCTGCCGAGCCTCTAACAGCTACGGCTGTCAGTCGAAGCTTCCCCGGGGAATTGCGAGGTCGTTCTTCGCCAAATCTGCAGGTGTTTCGAGAATGCACGTGCAGCCAGAGCGTGTGTCAAAAGAGCACATGCTGGAGTCCAGGCATTCGGAAAAGGCATCCTGCAGTTTTCTTTTTGACAGTAGGTTTGTTCGATTTATTTGCACCTTCTGCACCGGTGCAGGAAAGTGTGAGGTGGTGTACTTCCGGTCGTATTTTAATACGCATACCAGAAGTACACTGCCATACACATTTCTGCACCGGTGCAAGAGGAGCAGGTAAATCAAACGAAATCAGTAACCGTAACCGACACCCCACTGTGCTGGAGCGTGCACACGACCATCCGAGCAGACAAGCTTGCATGCCATACGGCTAGACGTAACTTACAGTTACGGCGGACCAAAGAGGCTCGTCGTAGATGGACTACGGATCAGACGCGGGCGTGGAACTGAGAGCGGAAGTGAAGTTGGTGTGAAGACCTTTGGAATCATGCTCGGGAGGAGGCGCAGAAACGACGATGACGCTGCGACAACGGCGAATTACGCGTGCGGCGAGCTGCCATCACTGTGACGCACGTTGCATGATGGTATAAGTGCGCTCGGATTCTTTACGAGACAAATTACATTGCGGGATTTTTTGCGGCGTCGCATACATATCTTTAGACCTGCTTGTGATGAAAACGTGAGGCAACGACATAATTTTATTTACAGGTCAATTGGAAAGAAAAGAGAGGTACAGGGTTCTTACAGGTCCTTGAAATCCTTGAATACCCGGAATTTGAGTGAAATCTTTTCAAGGGCCCTTGCATCTCTTTGAAATTTGCAATGCTCTTTGTGTTCCTTGAAAGTTCAGAAATGAACATATTTTTCTGCAAATCACGGCAGTTTGAGAAGTCTGCTCACAGGAGGTGTATGCAGAAGCACGGACTCCAGAGCGCAACCAGTGAAATAACATTACCAAAAAATAAAAAAAATAAAGCAGGGCATTTTTTTTTAAACTTCGATTTACATAAAAGGGAATACACTCTGCTTCTCTTGACTTATACGAGCCGCAGTGATGCGTATAGTGGCACGCAAAAATATCATATGGGAAAAGTGCTCGCCTGGGTGCCTTGGCAACCGACATGGTGCCAAGGCACCCAGGCATCATGACGACGATTCACTTGCATAAATCGTCGTCATGATTGCGTCATGCAATATCCGCCCGTTTTAAAGGGCACTTCAATCTATAACTTAAGACGTTTCATTTCATCGCAACTTTTGCTTTGTGTTTCCCTGATTTTTGTCTTCTGACTTCCTTGAAATCCTTGAAACATCCTTGAATTTTGCATCAAAAATTTTGTACAAACCCTAGAGGTAGTTTCTCATGCAAATTTGTAGTTACGTGTAAATAGTGGTTTTTGAGTTTGAAGCGAATTCAAAGCAAATAGTGGTTTTGGCTGAATATTTCCTAATTGAATATAGAATAGTTTCTCCAAGCCTTTCACTACTGTTGCACCATGCTCAAACAAAAACTCTGCTAAACTCGGAAAGTTTGTTCCGAAGCTTACATTTGTCCATTTTGTAAGCTAATTTTATTCCAACTATATTTAGACTCTGTGACCACAGAAAGTGTAATGCCTTGGGATGGCAAGTATACAACAGATTTGACATAAAATGAAACTTGTAGAGATGCCCAGCGAGCATCTCTACAAGTTTCAAGATTGAAGAAAGGATATGCAAATATCCTTTCTTCAATCTCAAGTTCGAAAAAGAAAATGATCACAAATGATGAATGCGGGTTGTCAGGACATCTCTACCTATACCCATTTTCACCTCAAGCACCTCAAGAAAAAAGCAAGTTTTGCGCATTGCTCATACTCGGCGCGAAGTAGTTCTTACGAGATTTGGTTGTCGGAGGAAAAAGCGATGCTTTCGGTGGTTGCAACGTGTACGTCTTGATAAGATAGGACGCGTCTAACCTAAATTGCACGTACATATATCTTAATTATCAACATGAAGGCGGAAATTAGTCATGCTCCGTGTGGAGCCAAACTTTTTTTACTACGGTTCTTGGGGTGAAAATAGGTATAGCATATACTCTTGCATAACAGCCATAGTTTATTTTTTCAATATTTTACTGCAATGTAGATATCAACATTCACAGAGTTGCAGTATTTCTTTAAATGCGCTATGCGCGCATGTGTACCATCCCGCTTTGTAAGTGGCTTTCCTCTCAAGCACGCAGTTGCGCTGTTCATACTTTACCAAGCGTTGATTGCGGCGGGTGACCCGGTTAAGTGCGCGCTGTACCGAGCAATGGTGCGCTGCGGAGAAGCAACACCACCAGAGCTCACTTCCATGGGTGTTGCTTCTCCGCAGTGCACCCAAGCTCGGTAAGAAGCGCACTCAACGGGGCAACTCTTTGAAAAATGTGAATATCGCAGTTCATCTCGAAGCAAATATCAAATAATGTATTATTCGAAACTACTATTCAAAATTTTGATTATTCTCGCAACACTACTAGTAATTTGTGTTTTTTTATAAAAATGCTCTTTTTTTTCATTCTCGGTTTTTTATGAAATTTGTTTTTAAAAGAGGATTAAGGCCTAAATTTTAAGTTTTTATTTAATTCATTTTTCAACTTTGATTTTTTCGGTTTTAAAAACTAATTACACCCTTACATCAAATTTGATAACCATGCGGGTTTTAAAAATTAATTAGAAATTTGAAAACCACATGCCAAATCGTTACGTTGATATAAAATATTTTCAACACATTGCGAGGCAGTAACAAAGTAAAGGAGGTCAATGTTTGAATGCATTTTTCTCAGTTCTACTTTTTGCTGCAAATTTCATACAAAGAAATCCTTTGTTAAAAGGTAAAAGTATTCTGATACCAGAATCAAGATGTTTCTGAACTTAAATTTACTGGGGAATCGAGCTATCTACTTTATTTTTGTTTTAAGTAGAAGTCCTCATTGAGAAAAAACTGTTTTCAAAACTTTACATAGGGCAGATATGCATCTAATATTTTTTGGTAATGATTCTTCCTGAAATATTTACATTTGAGGTATAAAAACTGGATAGCCCGAAGCTCAACATCTTCCCCTTTATATTCGAGCAGTCAAAATGGTACTTAGTAGGTTCATTTGCATAGATTTTTTAACAAAGAATGACACATCTTATGCAGGTATGTAACACTGTCCTAGAGGGCTGACAGTTTGCAGAATACACCTACACCTTATGCTAAATCTCTTCTGCAAATTTCATTCCGATTGCTTGAGTAGTTCAGAAGTAAAATCTCTAGCCAGTGTTCCTCCTTAAAAGCATCTACTGCCATGTTACAATAGAAATGCGATGGTATTCGCAGCTGGTATAGTCGCAGGCGGCTTTAAGAACGCATGGCGGGGCTTTTAAGTTCAGGAATCTTGCTTCGTGATCCGTCCTTCGGTGTTCCTTGTCGGCTAATGCTGTATTCTCATTGATTGAAAAGCAATAATAAGATGCGCGGGACATGTCACGCGCAGCATACGCTGTCCGTGACTGTAGTTAGAGCTACACAATAAGCCTCTTGCAAGCTTCAAAGGGGGCAGCCAATGTCTCACCTAGAGACTTTGCTTTTTTGGGGCCTGCTGAATTATTTCAGTTTGGGTTCTGCATTGCCAACTTATCAACTCACATGCATGACAACAATTGTGTGACAAAACTTTATAGTTGTTGGACAGACATTTTATGGAAGAGTTTGTAAAAGAATGATACAGGTGTATTTTATTTAATTTATATAGTTCCGCTTTCCTGCGAAGCATGCGGATAGCCAATCGCAGAAATTGTCAGCAAGATTCCAGTGATTTAAGGGACAAAGATAATGTCTTCACATGAAAATGCTGTCTGCGTGGACGGCATTTTTATGAAGAATCATGTTCTCGACTTTGTTATTTGCTAAGTGTCTGATGCGGAAAGGGATGAGTGACTCTGTGCATGTCCTGTGAAAAAATAGACACAAGGGCCTTGTTCATATGTAGTGCATCTACTACTGAAGTAAATATGTCATGAAGTATCTACTTACGCTAGCTGATGGTGAGACAATATGGGGGGACACTTATTGTGATTGCACACAGTTGGGGAATGCAGGACAGGGGATTCAATGTGCTATTATGAAGAGACTGATCTGAACACTCAGCAGTATGTAACTGGAGTCCTTTCCTGGATGATATAACAATATTAAAATTAAATTATCTAAAGCAATGTTACCGGTGAGGGAAGTGCTGCGCCATTTCCGGCAAATTGCTTCATGAACGAAAGTCTGCTACATCTAGCGCCAAACTCATTTTTGCTAAGGATTGTGCCACACCTGCGCCAAGATTAGCTTAAGCGAAGAAAAAAAATATAAATATTTTATTGCTCAATCATAATAATCTGAGAAGAAGGGAAGGAAACTGGTACACATATATATTCGACAGCAGAGTCTCTACTCATTGTGTACTTTGTTTCAGCTGAGGTAAGAGCACAGTCGAAGGCTCAAACTCATACAACCAGGAACGCACATACCAAAAGCGCAAGCCACGGGGCATTTGCTGCGCTTGATTATTTTTTGCCCAAGGGTCTCCATACCCCTCCACAAGTCACACCCGACCCGTGGAGGCCTTCCAACCGGCCGATGGCTGGCTGTGATCCTTACAGCGATACCCGCATCGCGGCCCCCTGTTACTGGCGCAAAAATATCCGCGCATGAAGAAACGGCACCACGACGTGCACCAGACGCGTCACATCCATTCTGATTCATATCCTAGCTGCTGATAGCTCTGCGGCATATTTATAGCACATTGTCATCACGAGTGTTACCCCTTGTTGCCCTCTGTTTCATGTCTGTGTAGCTAACGTTAAAATGTATTTGCGTTCATGTGTATATGGTGCTCGGTGTTCTGTTTCATAACTATTGCCTATCGTCATAATCAGTTCTTCCATTCCCGCTAGTCTTCTGCCGTATGTGAATATGCCAAAGTTCCCATGTGCTTTAATTTATGCTGAGTTAGTTTTCTGGATCACAATTAGTGTATGATGTATAGCTAGCTAAATATGAATTCTAAAAATAAATTGAATGTATTAATCCAGCTTGAATTCTTTTCTTATGTTTACTCTAACGGCAATTTCCTTCTTTAAAGGGCAACTCCGCTTTTTTTCCAGTGGTGCAAAACTATACAGTTCTCTTTGTTATCATCTACAAAACCCCCATGGCAAATATTACGACGGGATTCCGCCTAGAAGTTCATTAAAATCGCTGTCAAAGTTTGACAAGCACGAATCCGCTGGTTTTGGTTGAGACGTGTGGGCCAGACAACACTGCCCGGCTGCATTTCCGCTTCCTCCAAATTCCTTCTCCCGGCACGTCCGCGACGTCATCAAACATGTACAGCTTCTTTTTTTTTTTCAGTTTTGTTTTCTTTCCCGGGGAGAGCACGGGTGGCGCCAGCGCCGTGAAAGACGTGAGTGACACGCTCGGCCGGCCCGGCGCTCGACTATTGATACTACTGATAAGCCGATCGCCTCGTTGAGCGCGGCTTGTGTTACATCGCATACTTTTGAACACCAAGTAAAAGGAGGAAAGGGAAGCTGTTTTTGTAAGCATTTTGAGTGACAGGTTAATCTTCTATAATCTTCTGGGAGGAGAATAGCGACGCCTGTGCTAATCCAGGAGGCACAAAGGAGGATCCTGATAAGAGGGGAGCTTCTTCTTCCACTTGTATATCACGTGGGTGTACATGCTTAGTGATGCCGAATATACAATGTTGTCCGGATTTGCCACCGTTTCGGTTTCGGTTTGTGATCATGGTTAGAGTAAAATTACACGAAAAATATTTTATTTTTCGTGAAACAAAGGATTGGGGATTGTTTTTGAGTGCTTCAAAAAGCAAAATCGGCCACTATCTTAAAATTTTTGAAATTAAGCGGAGTTGCCCTTTAATTGCATATCTTGATTTGTTTATTCAGTTTCACATTCATATTCCCCTATTTATTTTCCGGCCCTCAAGACTGCAAGAGATCCCAAATCTGGCCTCTTAGCCAGAGAGTTTGGAGACCCCTTCTTCGGCCGATGAAATAACGCATACAGACAGATGACGAATGACATAATGGTGCATTTTTCAACGCTGTTTGATTGGTCTTATTGTCTCGTGGCGTCGGCAGCGTCATCGTTTAAATTTAAGGTGAATCAAAGCATAAAGATTGCTAGTCAACAGCGTCATCGTCTTCATTTCCAGAAGACGTTGTCAATGTCAGGAGCTAAAAGTCGTGAGAAAAATTTGCCAAATCGTAGGATGGCGGCCACTGTAATAAGACAGAACCAGATTCTTTTACGAATACTTGAAAGGATAAAACATCGAGGATGAGGACGGAAAAGGACTTCTTTCAAGAAGAGGTCCTGTTATCGTCTCCGTCCTCAATGTTTTATCCTTTCAAGTATTCACACCTATTGACCAACACGCTTGTTTTCAATTATTAAATTCTTTTAGTCCTGATTTTTTATTGATGGATGTTTTAGTGCATATGATGGTTTTTGCAGCCATTTTATAGAACTGGACTAAATTCACTGCTGAGCATAAAAGAGGGAGGGAGGGAGAGGCTTAATTGCAGCTGAAGTCTTGTGCTATGTTTCATTTTTCAGCCATTTTTTTTAATGTTCACTTTAAATGTAACTACTCTGACCTGAACCTTATTTTTATGAAGAGGGCTGTATATTTTTTTTTTACTTTTTTATATCCTATCTATTCTTCTTACAAAGGGTAATAGGTAATATGCTTCAGAATCAGATGAACCCTTAATTGTCATCAAAGATTGACTCTCATTTCGCAGTGTACTAATTTTCAAGCGATGTGTTAACAGACATTGGCATCTGCTCTAAAAGCGTCAGTGGCTGCTCAAAACCTATATTTTGCCTACTACTAAAGGTCAGATGCCGCTTCCATAACTGTGTTAAGAATTATCACATCATATTTCATCATATTACAGTTACACAGTGTCCTGGGCAAGTGCCCCTTTGCCATGACACTGCTATGTGTACCAGGCTGACTCACAAATAGTAACTTTACATTACTGTATCCTAAGTTATCTCGGCTAGTCCGAGGCACCTGTAGATCCTGCAGATAGTCACCCGGCAAGTTCAAGTCCCATCTGAGGTGCTCACAATTTGATAGGAAGTTTATTGAGATGTCAGCGGCATATCAAAGGTACAGAGCATGATACGGTTAGCATGAACAAGCAATAGCAGGACCTTGGTGTACTTTTGTTAGTGTTAAAAGGCTATTATTAAAACTAATAATACGGTGGAAAGTGGTTATTAACACAGAATGTGTTTTATCTGCCGATATTCATGGAGTTCTGGAACAGCTAACTGTAAGGACACCAAAAAGTGTTACGCCCATAGGGAGCCATATAAAAAGACTTCAGTCCCTCAGCAGAATTTGAACCCACCACCTCAATATTGTGAGCCAAGTGCTTTGCCAACCGAGCTATCCGGCGCTGGTGGTTGGATCACTCAAAAGCCAGGTCTTTAGCACGGCACGCCCTTCTTTTCTTCCCTGGAAGGCCTATCACAAATTCTGTGCTTACCCGTTTTAGAGCGCAGCTCTTAGGGGCCCGTTCCCGGCTCGAGCGGCGTCGCCGTCGCCGTCGGCGTAACCAAGGTCATACTAAGGTCACGTGACCCCAAGGTCACGTGACTCCCCAAGGCCACCACAAGGTCACGTGACCCCTCCCCAGGGTCACGTGACCCGTAAGGTCACGTGACACCCAAAGTCACGTGGCTCCCCAAGTCACATGACCCCCGGGGTCACGTGACCCCCGATGACGTCATCAGTGACGTCACTGATGACGTCACCGGCATCCGCATCGTCATCGTCATCATCACTGATGATGTCACCGGCATCCGCGTTGTCATCGTCATCATCGCTGATGACGTCATCAGTGACGTCACTGATGACGTCATCAGTGACGTCACTGATGACGTCACCGGCATCCGCATTGTCATCGTCATCATCACTGATGACGTCACCGGCATCCGCATCGTCATTGTCATCATCACTGATGACGTCATCGGTATCCGCATCGTCATCGTTACTGATGACGTCATCGTCATCACCACGTGACCCCCCTAGGTCACGTGACCCCCACCCAAGGTCACTTGACCTCCCCCCCCAGTACCCTTCCCTCCTCCTCCTCAAGAGCTGCGCTCTAATTCGGCGTTACAGGGAGTTGTAAACGGCTTTCACTTTTTTTTTGTCAGCATGATCAAGCTTGTATAATTTTTGGGGGGACACTAACTTCAGCGGTAACCTTCGGTGGTCTTAAAAATGCTTAGCAAAAATGTGGAAACATGCCAATGTCATGTTTGCTCTAACAGTACCATGCAGTGTAGGTCTACTGTTTCGAACCAATCTTCAGTTCTTTAACAAGGTTGGTGACTGGTCTAGTTGGTAATGACTGTAGATACTGAGCAGGCATGTAGCCAGGATTTCGATTGGGGGAAAGGGTGGAAGCCCACCCATGACAAAATGCTGTATAAAGGGGAGGGGGAGAGGGGGCTCCAGCAAAATGGAAGATTTTGAGGGGGGGGGGGGGCAGGCCCCATGAGTCCCCCCCCCCCCCCTTTCACCTGGCTATGTGCCTGATACTGATACTGAGGTGAAATAGCACAAATGCAAAGATAAGCAGAACAGGACAGGACAGAGAGCTAAGTTGTAACTAGGAATTTTATTACAAGCAAAAAAGGAAAAGAAGAAAACACTGCAATCCACACCTCTGATTTCCTGAAGTTAAAAATGCAAAGGTGATCAGTCATCAAAATTCCTAGTTGCAAGTTAGCACTGTGTCCTGTACCGTTCTTTTTCATATCTTTGTGTTTGCGCTATTTTACCTCAGTATGTACGTCAATTCTTCATTGACTTAGCTGATAGAAAACTCCCTTTTTTTCACTGGATCCAATTTATCTCAGCTTCGTTCAGGAACAGCCTGATTGAGAGTTTTCCTTATGTATGGTTAGACAACGACCTTTGTGTGAGTGGAATTGCATGAGCCCCTTTAAATGTATTTACTTTGTTCTCACCACTCTTGCAATCCTGCTTTGAAATCAGAATTTGGCGTCTGTGTGATGAAGCATTGAGATCTTTGATTTGTGAGATCTGTTGGCTTCTGGCAGATAACAAAGGTGAAGTACGTCGACCGGATCCAGTTCGGCAAGTACGAGATCGACGCCTGGTACTTCTCCCCGTTTCCGGAGGAGTATGGCAAGGTACCCAAACTTTGGATGTGCGAGTACTGCCTCAAGTATATGAAACTCGAGAAGACCTACCGCTACCACATGGTGAGCAGGCGCCCCTTGTCTTTCTTTCCAGCTTTGAGCCTCTGCTCTGTGCCGTATTTACTAAAAAAAAATTGCTGGTTCCTTGCCACGTTCTAGGGATGAACTGTGGTGACAGAATGATTTCACCATGTTGACATGATGTCACGTGAAGAAATTTTCTTGACAAATTTAGCGGAGAAATTTTTGCGCTAAATCTATTGGGGGACCTTGTGAAGTCACGTGACTATGTGAGGTTACTGTGTCACGTGATACTGTGGTTCCCCTTTAAATATAGTGAGCCCCGACTTGACTCTGGTATCTGCTGTGAAACCTCGTCAATAATGGCTGCTGTTGTAAAATTTGCAAACTGTTCACGATCAATGTCTTAAGAGTTTATTTCCATCATTACGATTCATGGAGCAATCCATCCAACCCTTGCCTGTTTTCTTAAAGGCTAGATTAAACTCACTTTTTTTTCTTGCAGATACAGGAAATTGCCAACCTGTGAAGCTTGTCTTTTTTGTACCCTATTTTAGTATACAAAAATTTATCCTGGTAGTTTTGTAAATAATGACTGAAGTGACCAATTATTAGAGAAAGCAAACTGCCTCAACATTTTTTAAATTTAAAATATAAATTTTTATGCAGAATGTGTTTATGGGCTTGATTTTATGAAAAAGTGTAACGCTCGAGTGTGACAAAAAAGCGTTTCACGCAGGCAAGGGCAACATATATGATACATAGCTTGTAGCAGGCATTGCATAAGAATTTAAAGCATTTAGAAGGCATAATTGGTCATGTAACTATTCATACATGATCATTACTAGAAACACACAATCGAAACCAGAAAGATTCACCAAGGAGCTCAGCGGGAATTGAACCCCAGCCCATGGGATCCGCAGTCTGACATCCTTGCTGGGCGCCTCAAATAGCTTTTTCTTCTTTATTGGCGGCACCAGGAGCAGGAGATGAACGACAGTGCAAGCAACTGAACTAAGTATGACTTGCAGCCAACGATCACCTGCAGACACAGTAGCACACGACTGCCTTGCGGCACGTCATGATTAGTCGAGCATACTTTGTCCTTGGGTAGTCATTGGAGGCGAGTTATACTTAGCATACTTAGCCCAGCTTACTTAGTGTGCAGGGCTACAGGCACTGGCAAGTTATACTTAATTCAGCATACTTAGTCTGCAGGCAACTGTTGGCAATGATTCATACTCAGTTTATGGTACTTACGTAGTTTGCAGGCCATTGGAGACAAGTTTTACTTAGTCCAGCATACTTAATCCTCAGGCAATCTTCGGCGGCGAGTCATACTTAGTCCAAACATAATTATGCTTAAATCCAATCACAGCCGACGTCTTGATTCGTCGGAGCCATTCAAACAGTGCAAAGAGTATGTAGAGACTCGTAACCTATATTATTTATTTACAATATTTACATTGGACAAAATTGGTCATCGCGGTGCGGCACGATCGAATCGCCGTATCTCTGTGCGTGGGCCCGTAAGGCTCGCTTATTGCGCCTCTTGTAGCACGGCTTCTTTCTTGTCTCCTCTTCATGTAGCTAAACGCTATAAGTGCGTTGCAATGGCAGTCGTTTTATTTGTGGGTTTGTGATCGCCAGCTAAACTAATGACGCAAGAAAAAAATGCCGGATCGTGGCACCCTCATTGTTTTTGTGATTCGTCTGGTCGATGACAGCAAACATACAAACACAACGAGCGCCGTGACGATGCCCTTTTGGCTCCGCTCGATTGGCTCCATCGAATCGCGGCGTCGGCTGTGGTCAAACCTAAAGTGAAACCGAGTATAGATTGCAGGTGGCTGTCGGCGGCGCGCGTAGTGGGTTCCAGACAAAGCGTAGCTCCCCACGTGGACCCACGACACTGCGGGGCGAAGCGTAACGTACCGAGGAATAGAGCAGCGAGCGCACAACGTCAGCAGTTTAGACAAGAGTCAATTTATGAAGTAAAGGCCACGACGAACCTCCCCTTGTGATTACTTCGGGGGCTCTTAGCGCACTGAAGTGTACTAAGAGCACTTCAGTTACAACGGTCCTTACAATCCTAGAGCAGTAAGGATTCAAGGCCCTACATGCACCCACTGAAGAAGGAGAACTCACGGAAAACTTTCGATTCATACATGCTTGTGACACGCTCTACTTCCGAAGAAATTTAAACTTGTCCTGATCATTCTGAAAAACCCGCAGATCTCGAGAGTGTCGTGTGTGCAGCGCAACCGAAACCTTTTCCTGCGACCAAGCATTTCCAGTTGCAACGTGTGCATAATACACGCACGACACATTCTGTGCCTCCCGTCGTTCATCAGAACGACTGAGGCAAGTTAATGTTGTTTCTGCAAATAATATTTACAGGTTGTGAAGTACCTTAATTACTTCCCAAAATAAAAATGAAATGACTAATAAATTTTTTAATTCTAAAATTTATAGTGCAAAAACCTAATTTATCCTTAGAGTTTGAAAACTCTGGGAAATCCATCGTGAGCCATATATATGAAAGTTCCTTTGCACTAATATGTTTGGTTTGGAAAAACCAAACGTGTGATATGTACAAAATACTGAGCGAACCCTAGTAATCATAATCTTTTTTTTTCAGGCTTAAAAACATATTAACACCTCGTAATATATATATATATAAATAAGTGCCATGTTGACTCTTATGCCCTCTCTCGGTAATTTCTTGTTACAGAAAAGTGCAACTACAGGGCGTCCCTGAAAAAAATTTACAGGTTTTTTTCTACACAAAAATGAACTATGCATCCCTGAACGTTCATTCTCCACCCGAGAGTAGTGCTAGAGGTACGAGCTAGATGGCAAAGTTTCAGTGCAAATCAATATTTTAACGCGATAGTGTTAAGGAGCTCGTGTCGCAAAAAAGCCAGCGTCGGTGACGTGACAGGAAAATCCCGATTGGTCGATAGGCTCATGACATCACAGCCTAATTACCTCGCGCAGGAATTTCAAACAGCCCACATTGCTCACACGAAACGTAACGTTACACATGAAATGACAGTGATTAAAACATGACATGCAATGCAAATTAAAGGTCACTGCATGTCTCAAATGATTTCACTTTATAAAGTAATTCATTTGCCTTAAAGAAAATTTTGAAGACTTTTAGGTTGGATTCGAACCCAGGACCCTTTGGTTGCGAGCCAGACATGCTACCGACTAGGCCACGCAAGGCACACTTGCACGGCGAATGAGAAGGAGATGCAAACGGGGCCTGAAAACGCTATCGCATTGCGCTCTTTCATTCAAAAGTTACGAGTGATTTTCTGAAAATGTCAATGGGAAAATGGTGGCCAACAGAGCTCTCGAATACACGGCGCTCTGTGGCGCCAGAAACTGAAGACGGGCGATAATGGGCCCCATTTATTTTCCCATTGAAAGTTTCACAAAGTCACTTATAACTTAAGTAAAATATTGGTTTGTGCTAAAACTTTCGCATCTGGTTCGGACCCCTAGCACTGCCTTTCGGTGGAGAATGAGCATTCGGCGATCCATACCTCATTTTTGTAATAAAAAAAACCTCATAAATTTTTTTTTTGGGACACCTTGTACTTGGTGCATCTAATGAGTGCAGAGCAGAAGGCTCCTGACACAGCTTTTAAACTTAAGTGTGAAGCGATACTTATTCTGGGGGCATACATGAAGTACTGCGGATGATCTATGCAGGATGTTTTTATTCTCGATGGAAGTTTTCCGGAGTAAAATGCATGTAACGGCAATGCACTCTATATATTGGAACGCAACACTCCTATCCTTAAACCTGCTCATATGCAGCATCAGGCGTTTTGTTTGGGAAGCTTCCCAAGAACTTTTGCTATAGCGAATGGTGCCAAATAACTCGGTTAAAAGTTAAAACCAAAATAGCAAAGCTAGACCCGGCATTAACTAGCTAAATTGGGTGCAAAAAGAACAGAGTTCAGAGGGAGTCTGTCTTCTCCGTCCTGCAGCCTTCTTTTGGTTGGACGTATCACACTCACTTGTTGCACGTCGGTTCCCGCTTTTTGTTTGGGATGTTTCTGGGGGAGTATTGGGTGTGGCATATTTTTCCAAACTGCACCTTTCAGAGCGAGTGCACATGGAGACAGCCTCCTGGGAAGGAGATCTACAGGAGAGGGACCGTCTCGCTTTGGGAGGTTGATGGCCGGGAACACAAGGTATGAACACTGTTCTCCAAAGGTGTTCAAGGCCCTACATGCTTTTGTATCTTTTGTGGAGGCTCTCCCCCCCCCCCCCCCCCCCCCCCTAGTAATTGTAGTGTTGTGATCAATGATGGCCTCGGCATAAATAGGGCTAGTTAGCTTTGGTGGGATATAAGGCCCGCTTCAGACGGGGCAATTTTGACCAGCAACTTGACATCGCAACTCCAGCAACACGGGCCGCCCGCGTTCACACTCAGCAACCGAATTGCTATGACTTGGCATCATCATCATGAAATTTGATTTTTCTTACACTATTTAGATGCACAACTATGCGCTAAAAACATGTTTTTATATCTTTGAATGGTGTTGAGAATACTAACTCACCTTTCTGAAAAGGTTTGTTTCCGAAAACGATCCATTTCAAACCAGAACCAAGTTTATAGCTGTCATCATCACCACCACAGGGGTGTCACGTGAAAATATTGCGTCCCTGATTGGTTGCAGCCGTTTCAAACGTCTTCGAATTGCTCCGAGTTGCTCGCTCGTTAGAGCCGGACCCGATCTCAGCAATTCGTGTCGATCTAGGGAAAGCTAGAGAACAACCCGCCAGCAACACCGAAATTGCTGGAAAAGTTGCCCCGTCTGAAGCGGGCCTAAGAGAATGTCGCTGACTGGGAAGTACAGTCAGCTTTGCTTAGTTGCCTGGGCACGATAACAAGCTTGGAAGGGACACAACTTAAAAATAGCAATTTTTTTAACTTTTGTTGATTGTACACCGAAAGTTTGCCCACTCCATATTTTCAAGCAACTCGCTCTCGATGTTAGGTGGGCTATCTCTCGGGATTTTATGCTAGTTCTCGACTAAGCAAGCAAGTGTTGTGTGAATCTTTTTCTAAGGGGTGCAAAATTAAATGTTGCAGCTGCCAGCGTTGATTTAGGTGGGCTCAGTACCAAAGAGTACTTTTGTGGGTCGCGACAGCAGTAATATGCTGTTGGTCTGGTGGCGCGGTACCACTGGCAGTCTTGGCTGCCGTCGATATGGCAGAGAATGTGGCTTAATGGGATTCTCGACAATGAAAGATTGATTCGTGTACAAGAAGGAAAACATTTGCAAATCGGGATACAATGCATCAAGCTTTGGAAATGTACAATTTAAAACTGTGCATGTTAGTAGTTGCCCAGCCACAAGTCATTTCTTTTGTTTTTATCCAGCGATAAATTGTTTGCCGTGAAAGCGAGACTAACTGTCCCCGGCCTTACTACGACCGTGTGGTGAGCACGAATGATTGCAGGTTAGCAGTTGCACAGTACTGTCCACCTAGTGCTCCTGCTACAGCAGTAAAACACTATATCGAATCTAATGGAAAGCTATCCTTGTCATTAGTTTGGTACAGTATGGCCGGCGCTTTTCAACCGCAAGTGTCCAACCTTAAGTGTGTACTCTGAGGTACCAAAGCGACACATTGCGCGCCATTTCTCACTAGGCTGGATCGTCGCACAGATGGATGCTAGGGGTCATACCTTTAAGGTTTGGCAGTAGCTCGTGCCACCCGGCTTAGTCCCCACTGCCAATCCTCTTGTGGCCAGATCTACTGCCAGAACCTGTGCCTGCTGGCCAAGCTGTTCCTGGACCACAAGACGCTGTACTTCGACGTGGAGCCCTTCCTGCTGTATGTGCTGTGTGAGGTGGACAAGCAGGGCTCCCACCTGGTGGGCTATTTCTCCAAAGAGAAGGACTCCCCAGATGGGAACAACGTCGCCTGCATCCTCACCCTGCCCCCATACCAGCGCAAGGGCTACGGCAAGTTCCTCATCGCCTTCAGTGAGTCCCTCCCCCTCACTATTATTTATTATTTATTTATTAGCTATACATACCACGACTTCATTTGAGTTTATTGCAGGAATGGAAGGACACCAGCACACAGTAATGGTGGACAAGCAAAGAAACAAAAATGTCCTAGGAAATAATGATTGGAAACAATCGCGCGTTAAGAAAAAGGGAGCTGCATAATTGCCGGAATGAAGTCATTCTGAGCAAGCGTGTGTGCGGGCCCATTCAAGGTATTCCGCAGCTCAACCACGGATAGCGAGAAAGAATATTTGAAACAACTAGTTCTAATGTAACTGAAGTGGCACAATGTTTAAATTATGAAATCATTCAGTACGTGAGATATCAGAGAGAGGAGCAGTTCTTAGAAGATTCGGCTGTCGAAGGAAGAAGCGATGCTTTTGGCCTTTGAAATATGTATGTTTTGATAAGATCGCTGATATCTAATCTAAAATGCACCTACGTATATCTTATTCCTCCACATAAAAAGGGAAAGTAGAAACGCTCTGCGAGGAGCGAAACTTTTGTTACCGCGGTTCCCGAGGTGAAAACGAGTGTACATATAGAGGAAACCGACGCGGGAGGCAGATTGGGCACGAAGTCCGCACCAGCGTTCGGCCGAGACTCGCGTTCTATCAGAGAGGACTCAAATCCTAGCCGAGCTGAAAACAAACTCTAAATGGGATCTGTTTATTCTTGCTATCCGAGTTGCTCTTGGCAGGGCTCTACCAAGGAACCTGGAGCGCATCTCTGACTGGTCTGTTTACCGCTTCTTCAAAAGTGGTTCCTCAATTTTCGTCCGATGATATGGTAAAACTACCACAATCCTGGTGGTGGCACAGCAGTGGAGGTGGGTGCGACAGATGCCGATACTACTGGAGTGTGCTCTGCAGCCAGACGGCCATAGGAAACCAAAGCAGACGCGAGATGGGACGTTACGACGACCCTCGCGACCTCTAGCCTTTTTCGCCGGCCTTTTTTACACCCGACGGCATGACCAGAGCCGTATACAGTCTAAGCTCGTTATAACAGACTTTGATTTTGACCAAGATTTCGGTCTGTTGTAAAAGGAGTATGTTGTATGCAGATATGAAGTTCAGTCAATGGTGCATAGAGGAAAACCAACCAAACTTCACAAATGGGTATGTTATATCCAAATGTCTGTTGTAACCAAGTCTGTTATAATGAGCTTAGACTGTATGGGGAGAGTTTGCCCAGTCTATGATATCGTCGTCATAACGGCGATATCAAGCAAGTGAGCCACTCAACCCGCGGCGCAGAGCAAGAGGCACGAGCGCATGCGCAGGAACTCCCGGCTGCTCCCAGCGGAACGGGGAGGGCCGCCATTTTCATTCATCCGCCCGGCAGAATGCATGGGATCGAAATCCAAATTTTGGACTTTCCTTTAGTTTCGTGGGCTCTGGCAAGAAAATGATATAGTGTTATTCCTTGACGGCTTAAAAAGCTAACGAATGAAGTTGCTCTACGTTTGAATGCAAACTTTGATTCACGCAAAAAAGAAATAAGCTTACAGCAGACGACGGATGAACCTAACAGCCCTCTACGCCGACAGCGTTGTGGGAAAATGGTGGTCGTCTCTTCTTTGCTTCCTTCTTTCTCTCTCGCTCCTTCGGCGCTTTCCTCCCTTTCCTTCACTTTTCTCCTCTCCAGCGCCTTCGTCGCCACACCCACTGGCCAGACTCTCCTAATGTACGGCTCTGGGTGTTACATGCCAGCTGCAGTGACGTAATTTGTTGCCTCTTCGGAACCACTTTCAATGCATGGGTTAGATGGGACGGTAAACGCATCAGTCAAAGCCGTGCTTCCGGCACCATAGTTCTACTGTACTTAGGAAGTTTTCCCTCTCCTGTAAATGACAATCATTGTGGCGTGCTGTCTCGGGCACATTGTTGTTAGATTCCGGCTTTCAAGCAGCAGAAGTGTTTTGGGAGGCGTTTCGAAACTTTCTCACCACCTTCAGTGGCTCTTAGTTTTTCCGTTGGTTCGTTTTTAGGGGGGATTAGAGGAAAGCAGAATGATGTTTTGAGTTTTATGCGAGTGTCCAACTATACTACTTAGGATGTAAAACTGTATTCCACGGCAGTAAACTCTTTCACTGCAAGTGTCTTTCTTTACAACCTCTTATAACATAGTACTCTCCTTCACCTTACGACGTACCGCAAAGGATGCTACACGCCTCATTGGCCAATCCAGTATACATGCGTGCCACGTGACTTCACGCCTTGCCCGTCGTTCGTCTCATCCGAAAGGTCACGTAACCCGCTCTAGCTATGGATTGGTTTTGGTGGCTCAAACCATCTGTTGCGGTACATCATGAGGAGAAACGGAGTATAACATATTTATTTGAAAATAGGTCAATCTTTTAATGAACAGACCTGTGTATAAAAGTAGCCGGCAAATGACAAAACAGAACTTTTTAAATAAATATAAAAAAAAAAAAAAAGATGCTATCTACACAGTCTTTTTTTTTCTTCCTGCATTTCGAAGTTATCAGTACCTCGTCATTCGCTGGGCCTCTTCCTCAAAATCATGATTGGCTCTTCTTGAGCGTTGCAGTGAAATACATACGCAAGCATTGTTCATAAAGAGGTCGATCAATTTTTGAATAAATACGGTAGTACTGCCAATTGGTTTCTAACCTACTCGTTGTAGTCCCGATAACTGGTAACGTCCCTGTTTTCCACGAAGGCTACGAACTGTCCAAGATGGAAGGCACAGTGGGCTCTCCTGAAAAGCCACTCTCCGACTTGGGCAAGCTGAGCTATCGGAGCTACTGGTCCTGGGTGCTGCTGGAAATCCTCAGGGACTTCAGGGGCACGCTCTCCATCAAGGATCTCAGGTGAGTTCTCGCTGTGGAGTGCCACCTCGACATAATCCTGAGGTAAACAGTGATACCATAAAAAGTTTTGATTCCAAACTGATGGTGTAAGATGCCTCGTTTGGAGGAGGCAAAAATCATACATTCTTTGACTTTTCCAGAGTGTCATTAAATTTCTTTTATATTCAAATTGAAGAAAAAAGAAAAACAAGAAAATGTTTGTTTAAAAAAAGTGAAAGCCGTTTACAACTCCCTGTAACACCGAATTAGAGCGCAGCTCTTGAGGAGGAGGAGGGAAGGGTACTGGGGGGTGAAGTGACCTGGGGGGGGTCACGTGACCTTGGGGGTTCATGTGACGATGCCGATGATGTCATCAGTGATGATGACGATGACAATGCGGATGCCGGTGACGTCATCGGGGAGGTCACGTGACCTCGGCAGGGGGGTCACGTGACCTCGGGGGGGGGGGGGGGGGGGGGGGGTCACGTGACCTCGGGGGGTCACGTGACCTTGGGGGCCACGTGACCTTGGGATGACCTTGGGGTGACCTTGGTTACGCTGACGGCGACGCCGACGCCGGTCAAGCCGGGAACGGGCCCCTAAGAGCTGCGCTCTAAAATAATATGTTTATGTTTATTAACTTCCAAAGAATGGTTTCAGAAACTTTCATTCATAAACATGGAGGGTTTACCTCACAATAAATTATTTTCGACATATCAGCAACCCTCCAAGTCAGCAGGGAACAAGTTTTTTGCATATTTTATTTAGCGCTGCTTCATACTCGTTTAGCATAGCCAGAACATCTCACTCCCATTGGAAGTGGCATTTACTCTAGATTTAGCCCGTAGAAGCTTTCCATGGCCAGGAGAACGGTATACATCCATAAAGAAAAAAAAAAATCCTAAAAATTTGCTACGAGCAATCTTACTGGCTGAGGCCCGAAACATGGTTTACTATTGGTCCTGCCCAGTGATGTAATATTGTGCCATCTTCAGTAACCCCTTTCCCAGTATCTTCCACTTCAGATCATATTCCTGCTTTGCTGCTCTTCATAAGTATGCTTTGCCTCCTAGTTCTTGCCAGTTTATCTGTCAAGGAATGCCTGCTACAAAAGTTAGCTTGCCTACAAATGACACAAACTGGTAGCTATTGTCTGGGAAACAACAAGGTCTCAAAGCGAAAGGTGCTAACAATGCTCCAGGTGAATTTCGCCTAGTCCTGGACTGAAATTTCCTAAGAAACAAGTTAAGGTACCCATATTTGGAAAAAGCTAAGTTCTTTGTGACAAAAACTTAATATTTTAAAACGCAGAAACTTTCTATAATTTTTAGCTCCTTTTGGGTGTTAGTGTTTTTCTCTAGAATTGCATTTTCTACAATTACTTTTTACCTTAACTTGCCCTATGAGTACTCTACTTCACATTAAACCAAACATTTTGTAGATTGCAGTTATTTTTATTTTAAAATACCTACATTTCCTAATAAAGCAACTTTTTTCTGGAGCTTGTTAAACATGGTATGTTGTAGAAATTGGCCTACAAGACTTAAACTTTATATGTTATCAATCGTAATAGGGTTCAATTCACCCTGAAAGTTTGAATCAATTTGAGGGAATGGTTCAAAAATTGACCATTTCTGCTCGCTATATCTCACAAATAAAGCGTGATAATTGATTCTATGAATGCTATCTTCCAGAAACTCTGTGTGTGGCATCAGAGGCATCCGCAAGCCTTTCTGTAGGGTTTCTTTTTTCCTCATCCCTCCTCTTTAATATGCAGTCCTCACTGCAGCACTGCCAGAGCATGAAGGCATCACATGACTGTATTAAACCCACTCGTGGCACGGAGTCTAGCCGGCGACTAAACAAAAGCATAATTAGTGGAATTCTCAGCTTTGCTCCCACCGCACTGTCAGCATAGCATAGGAATGTCACAAAGTAGTTCTGCCACACCTGTGTGATAGAGAATGACGTGGTCTCTCCCCTTTTGCAGCCAGATGACAAGCATCACGCAGAACGACATAGTGACAACGCTGCAGAGCCTTAACATGGTCAAGTACTGGAAGGGGCAGCACGTCATCTGCGTGACCCCCAAACTGGTCGAAGAGCACTTGCGGAGCGCCCAGTACAAGAAGCCCCGCCTCTCAGTGGACATCTCCTGCCTCCGCTGGACCCCGCCCAAGAAGCGGCCCAAGCCGGGCAAGAAGCTCTAAAAAGCATGCTTTGCAAGACTATTCTCATTGGGCTCCTCTGTTGTCTGTCTACTGCGGTTGCGGCGAAGGATTCTTGAGATGGCCGCCCAACTAGACTCGCTACGATACAAAAGTTTTTAGCGACGTGGAGGTGTTTGGCATGGTGCATTTAAGAAGCCACTTTTCAACGTTTACTGCTTGGCCTTATAGTGTGGTACAGTTGTGGACAACGTAAGCTGAAATGACCGAAAGATATTGGCGACGCTGCCTTGACGCGAGAAGCTAAACTAGTAACAAGAGAGAGGACGGGGACGGTGGTGCAGTGGTCACGGCTATCTTACTCGGCCCGTTCCTCTTCCATGTTACAGGTGTGCTATGGTGCGACTCGTCTCTACTCTTTGCTACTGCCTACCGCCACGCTTGTTGTCGTCTGTGCCGGCAAAATCATATTCCAATGCCCGAAGGGGCAAAAACGAAGACTCATACAATAGGGCGCACTAGTGGCACGTGGGCAACAAAAGCACACAGATCTCGTGCGTGACCGGGCCTAGCCGGATAACATATGCCACTGCAATCTCGACTGCATGCTTTCTCTCGATTGCCAATTCAACTCCTTGCGTTGGGGCGGCACCACTGGTATCTTTTGGTCGTTGCTTGGTCACTTCGACTTATTTTGCCCACGACCGTACATGCAGCATTCTAGTTTTGCAGAACCGTGTACAACACGGGAGAGATTTGCAGGTGCAAGTTGGGTCTCATTCTGATTAATATGAACCGTTTTGAAAGGCTGTTTGAACTGCATGACTGGGAATGTGTCAAGTGCTGATGAATAGACACTAAAGCAGGAATGGATCAAGAAAAATGGGCACAGTAGGCCAGCACATTAGAGGGAATGTTGAATCTTCCTTTGGAAATGATTTTCCCACGTGTTTTTCGTGCCACTCTTCCAATGTGAATTTCAATCCCAATATTGCCGAGAAGAGTCTGTTTCGAAAAGATATACACATTATACTTCAGAAATTTTATCCCAGATATTGTTCTACTTTCGTCAACAAATAGTATTTTGTTTGCAACATGCCAAAAGTAGGAACTCTTCCACCTGTTGTAACGGATGCCTATCAAAATGTGCTCCAGATTCAATTTAACCTTAGGGTAGTTCCATTACAAGAAATCGGGATTCCAACATTTCTGTCCAACCAAAGCGATGCAAATCTTGTTTTGCCCCCTCCTATCATGTTAAGCCCATTTCCAAAACTGCTTTATATGGTATTAGGCTTTCCCAGTGTTCCTAACTGAAGTTTTGTGTTTGCATTGTGTAATAGCATCGTCATCGATGGCACCACAAGTATTTGTGGAACCACGCAGTTGTATATAGTCACATAAAGTATCTTCGGAATAAAATGTAGTACTGCCGCGTTAGTATACCGGCTTTAATTGATTTTCATTGCCAGTTGAATACTGCAGTTACAAATTATCCACTTCTGACAAGTGGAGTCCCAGTCACTTGGAGGAAGGACCACCTCGATTTGCTTTTGCTACACGTGCTCCAAGCTCCAGTGCATTAACACTCCCGGCCACCGACACCCCCCCTAGAAAGAAAGGGACGGGGCATGGTGACTATACTTTGTTTCACGATAATTTGGCGAACAGTGGAGGCCAAGGCCCCGTGACCCAATAAGAGTGTCGGAGCGAGGCACATGACCCGACGTCATGGGAGCATTTGTGTCACTACGCCAAATGCGAGGCGCGAGGCCCGGAGGAACTGGCTGTTGTTTGCTAGCCAAGAGTTGTGTGTTCCAAAACCAACCAACTTTAAAAAAAAAAAATTGGGTTGTGTGTGTGTTTATACAGCCTAGAACTTGGTCTGCCTCACAGGGGTGACGAGTCTCCCAGCTGTAGATGAGAAATTTAGCCAGTGCGGTACAACCGCTAGCCTGGGGTCTTTAACGTGCATCACGCAGTAGTGATACACGACCGCACGCCGGTACGATGCTCATCCAGATCGAAACGGGCAGGGGTGGGGCTCGAACCCAGGATCCCTGGGTTCTGCAGCGCGAGCTTTCGCTCCACGTGCTCCGAGCTGGTGTGCGCTAGACCACTCGGCCACCGATCCCCCCTGACCAACTTTAAATGAACGTCCACCGCAGCCCGTCCGCTAAAATAGCAAGCACTTCAGGAACAGTTCATGAGACAACCATGCGCTCAATTTAGCCGTGAATCTGCGACAAGCGCTAATGCGAGGGCGAAGTGCATTTTTTGAGCGGAAACGGCCAATTACATGTCTGCGATTGCAACGGCCATGGCGCTACAAAGAGAAAAAATAAATCGAGAGCGGATACGGATGTGGCGTTACTTTTTTGGTTTAAATATAATTGAAACTAATAAATTTGAGCTTATTTATTCTTTATGCTTCGTATCTTCACGTTAGAAATAGAATCGCGCGATTTCAATTGCCTTTAAAAGAAAAAGGAGCCTAGAACCACCTTTTTTCTTGGACGGCGCTGTTGCTATGGTGGTAACGAGGCCCCTGTGGCCTCAACCATGGAGCGTTGTCACATTCCTTGCACCGGCGCTCTTATTGGGTTGCGGGGGCTCCAGCCTCCACAGTTTGTCAAGTTATCGTGAGACGGAGTATAGTGGCCACAGAAATCGGGGTTGTAAGTGAAAGACTACGATCACTAAAGAGGGTTAGATCAAACGCATTGGTATGGCGTCTCTTTGCGACGTGCGACGTCAGACCTCCAGCGCAAGACTCGTCTTATGTTGTACTTTGGCTGCACGTGCACATTTGAGGCTGGCAAGGCGCCACATTGTTATCGAAGGTAGGAAGCTCACACTGCAGGCGGAACACGAGCGAAGGACTCACTTGCCGCTCTACCAGGCTCGTGTCCTCTACCTAACCTTTTGGAGAACAAACTAGTGAAACCCCTCCAACGCCCCCTTAACTACAAACGGGTGCACTGAGCACCAAAATAATGTCTCGAATGTGCACTTCGAATGTCCGAGAGGTTTCGCCGTATTCAGCCAATTGAACCAGAATGGCGAAATAATGCTCATTAGACGGTTCTGGCCAAATGCGTTTGTGTAAGTGAGCGGTTGGTTTATGAAGTTCTAGAATACTGTATAGGGGAAAGTCGACTTTGTCCGTCTTCACAGGCTCATACGCTTTCGAATTTTATTTGCGAAGCTGGCTTAGAAGTATGTATACTGGGTGTTTCACGAAGGCTTTCAAAAATCCCTGAAAATTAGGTGGTTGAGAAGAAAAAAAAGTCTTTCCGAGAACAAACTGCCAACCACGGCAGAAGTCGGGGATTGCAAAGAATGTACTAATTAGGCAAAATAATTAACCAAAAATTTACTAATCAATGTTTCAATTAGTAAAGACAGACATATGGTTCCAATTACAAATCTGCTGAGCATCATTGCAAATCACCGCTAAACAGTCACTTTAGAAATGCACATACAGCATTTATGGCTTTCCAAAACAAAAATCATTTGGATGCGTTTCTAGGTTTTGGTTTCCTATTGGACTGCTGGGCCCGTTGGCTGGGAAGGATGCGCTTCGATAGGAAACCAAAACCAAGAAATACACACGGGACGGTGCAAAATAATGTACAGTGCCCCTCAAACTTAAAGGGATACTTCAACGAAATTTGAAATATTTCCGTCGTGTTCAAAAATAGGTTGAATATGATCCACAATATCCGTAAATGACAATCGCACGTTTGTATTTTGATCCTGGTGGCTGCATTTTTCGTTATAAACGGCCCACTCTGGCAAGCGCTCGGAGAAGGCCCAGCTTAGAGCATGTGACATCCAACGCAATCGTGACGTAGGTCGTCTCAAGACGAGCAAAGATACGGCGAGGCTGACGTCGAGAGGATGGCCTAGTCGTTCCAGCCACCGAAGCGGCTGCTTTTGTACGAATTTTGAGTGACGGGTTAATCTTCTATTATAATCTTTAGGGGGACAATAGCGACTTCTGCGACACACAAGAGAGATTCTCCGGAAGAGGGGAGTTCCTCTTTCCCCCCTTCTCTCGTCGTGGCCGGAGACGAGACAACCTCCGTCACTAGCTGTCAAGGTTCCTAGAGGAGCATTAAAAAACGAGGCGTTAGCGACATCCACCAGGTGCTCTTTGCGAATCGTTTAATTCGTTTTAAAATTCCTTTTCGAGACTTTTTTAACAAGATATTGGTATGCTCCATGTGATACTGCTTTTTTGAACACATAGACCAAAAAATGAGCTCCGAAATTTCGTTGTAGTATCCCTTTAAAGCCGCCACTCGGTTTCGCAAATATTGACCTATTGCATGCTACCCAAAGATAAATTGATCGCTGCAGCTGCTGGAATGCCTTCTTCTGGTTGGGCTTTCATCGAGGACGCAAATCTTCACCAACTAGTTGGACCGCTAGGTTCAGGAATAGCTCAAAAAGTGAAGAAACCGGACCATCTCGTGGCGGTGTTAAGTTTGGAGCGCACTGTACCTGCGTTACATCTTTCCAAAACGAGTAGATTTAGTGGTTTCCAATGATGCTCGGAGAGTATCTAACTGGAACCACGTTCATTTTCCCAAACTTAAAGTTAATTAGTACATTTTAGGCTATTTAGCTAATTGGTGCGTTTTTTGCGATCCCCGATGGCCAGCATGGCTGGCAGTTTGTTCCCTGGAGTTTTTCTTGGCACCCTACTTCTAGCCCCAATGCCATTCTCCTCCTCCAATCCCCCTAAAGCAGTCTAAATAAAAGTAAACTGTGCAACATACCAAGCCTCTCTAGAGATCAGTTGTCAGGTTGCTTGCTAGTGGCAGGTGTGGCACTGTGTCTAGGCCTCAGAACCACTGACAAAAAAGTATTTTCTATTGGTTAGGTAAAATTTACAATTAAGCTTTAATCGCCTAACTCTCCAGAAGGACGACTCTTGAAAATAAATCTCAGCAGATTAGTACTAATCAGTTCAAGATATGATGCATGCAATAGTACTGTTATAATGAAGCGACTTTTCTTACAAAGCCAAACTACGGTAGTCTTAAAAGCTGCAAACAATTTGCTGCCTAAAAATGCAAGGGAATGGAAAACTGAAGAGGAAAGCTGGGACAATTAGGAAGAACAAAACATTTGTTCACAGTCACCATAGCAAAGGTTGGTTTTTTTCTTTTTGTGTGTGATCAAACTATTTTTAAAGAAACACCAATACCAATGTCTTTCATGATTAACGTACGAGACCCTCGATGAAATACCAACACCGGGTTCTTTATTTTCAACGAACGCTTCTACCTTAACAACACTGTTACTGGCAACGTGGAAGTATGGGTCCTCTGCAGCTCTCCTTTACGCGTCCTTACGTTTCACTATCAGCGGCCCGACGTTGTCTCCGCACTCTTCGTTGTGTTTGTTGTGGGAGCCATCGCAGTAGGGGAACTGCAAGAAACAACAGTGTCAATTTAGGGCATCCTTTCAGTCTAGATGGCAAAAGGATTTGTGAAGCATCTTTTCAATGAATGCCACACATGTTGCACGGAGACACATCACTAGTATGAAAGCACTGCCCATCGATAGTTGCATCTTTCATGATGCACAAGTTCCTAGTTAAGAAACCTTATTTATTCCAATGAATGCAGATGTTGATATCTTTATGCTACATTTACTAAAAGTGCATATCAACTTTAACCTAACCCTATGTTACAATCAGGGAGTGCGAGTACAGAGGTCTTTTAATTTGTTTCCGTATTCCCGTTATAGGACAGAAACACCAAACACACTGTGAAGTGCCTCCTATCACAGTCATACAAGTATACAACATTCATTCTTGATGTGAAGACTTAAAAATAAAAAGAGGAAGACCGCTGCATGAATATTTGTCTCGCTGTGTGCCAGCCTCAGCAGACATTAGATGGGAAAGAACACTAACTGACTACAATGTGTTAACAAATTTTAGTCAATGATTGCAAGGGTTACTTTGAAATGCAGTCTTAAAGGCAGTCATTGTCAGAGGATGATCAAATTTATGAAATTTGCAAAACAGGCAATGGAACTTAACACGTCCAATTATATCTTCTCTTTTTTTTTTTTTGTTGTTTGGTTTTGTGAGTGGATGCAAGAATAGCCCCTCAAGGTCCGACCACAATGGTGCATAAAAGAGTGAGACCTTTGTTGCAGGCACATCGTTATCTCAGTAGAATGAATGCTTAGGCAAGAGAGCCAACGAAACACCGCTGAGGCAACGATAAAGAGCCCATCCCTCTTGTCTACATTTCCCGGAATTTTCACCTTGTAGTAATCCTTTTAATTTCCGTGTGGCACCTATAGCATAATAACCACAATCTACACAAGTATAAAAGGCTAAGCAAAAAATAACCCTCTTATGAAAAAATAAAAAAAGCCATTTGCTTTGGTTACAATTAGCATGCCGGCAAAAGCCCTGCAAAAATAGCTCGCTGTATGCGTTTGTGTGGCGGAGCATCTTGTAGACCAACTGTCTGTCTACGAAACAAATTCTTCCCAAGATACAATGTACCTGGGCATGTGCTGTGCCCTAACCGGCACCACTGTGGTGGCAACAGAGGTGGAAGCGAGCTTATAGAGTTTCACCTAAAGGGATACTGAACCGAAATTTCGAGATCACAAAACAAGTCTGGACGGATAGGTGAGATGTGGCAAAATTCAAAAACATCATTCATACAGTGATATCTCTTAACGGATCGCCGTGTTTTTGGAAAAGAAGTGCACGATTGAACACTGCCGACGAGGCTGATCGGATGAGTCGTGTCACAATTCTCATTTCCTCTCCTCCTCGCTATGTCCCAACGAGCTGCTGAACCAAAACGAGGAGGAGAGAAGCGAGGCCGCTTCCCCTAGTTCTCAAATTTTCCAGGGGGACAATGACATTATAGCCCTTGCTTGATCGCGCCCTAATTTTCCAAAAGTATGGCTATCCGCTTGAGATACCGATGTACAAGTGATGTTTTGGAGTTTGAAGCGTCCCGCTCAACGCTTATGTGGCCTTATTTTGCAAAATCTATATTTTGGTTAAAGTATAGCAAAGAAACCAGGGCCACAGGCGCACCTAATAACCCCGGCAGGTTGTCTCGCTTGTGCAGCCGAAGCTCACTCTAAAGCAAGACGCTCATACTGCAGGCTCGGCTATACTACCGCTCAAAGGCGAAACAAAACGCAGGAAGCTCTTAATTCATTTTTTAAGGTGCCCAAAACTTTCTCCAAATCGCTTACCAAGTGCATGTTGCCAGGCAAGGCAGACTTTAACAGTGAAGAGGTCAAGACCCGCACCCAGAGTGCTCGCGAGCCAAACACCACACATAAATTTTTTTCGGTACCTTAGGAATCCCATGCAGAAAGGAGCAAAACTACATTTGTACTTAATGCAACCGCCGCTTAGAATGAATCTTTGACGTTTATAACCGAAGAAACATATATTAGTTCTCTCCACGCCATGGTAGTTGCGGAAAAATTGGAAGAAAACTTGACGGCAATGACCGCCTCGACTGGCAGTTAGAACAAGTGGCCACGTGATCTGGCAAAGATTATGTGCCGCCAATGTTTATCATAGCCACGCATCGAGTTTGACATTTTCAGGGTCGGGCTATTATTGTCATTGCAGCGATTGAATACGAGCCACTACTCGAATGCTCCTCGAGCTATGATTTATCACGAGCCCAAAAAGCGCTAGCACGATGCTTGGGTCCAATCTATGAACCGCATTCAAATATAGTCACTCGAGGGACTATGGCACCTTGCAGCAAAGAAGTTTCTTGGTCAGTGGCGTTGCGTGCAAGTATACTTGGTCCCACTAGTGCCAGTGTAAGCTAGCGTAAACTGAAAAACATTCAGAGTGATTATCGTTGCACCACCCCTTTAATCTTTGGTTTCACTCTGAACATGGACGAATCCTACCTTCTTGGACCTCCAGCAGCGGCAGAAGACCGCCTTGTTCCCGAGGTCTTCAATGTCGACAGAGTTGACGATCTTGGGGTTGCTAAGGTCCACGCTCGAATTCACTCGTCCCTTGCCCCCCCTGCACTTGTACAGGTACAGGCTCAAGCCCAGGGCCACAGCCGTGCCCACCCATGGCAGCAGAGGTACAACCTGCTCTCTCGTGTCTGGCAGAAAAAACAAAGTAGGAAAAAATAAAGAAAGTTGTCACACGGCTTTTTGTCGGACCATCTGCCTTCCAAAGCAGGTGCCTCTGTTTTTCTCTTTTTCTTTTTAGAGACATGTGGAGCTAGCATTGCCTTTACACAAACTGCGTGCTGACTTCTGTACTTTTGAGCCTACATGTACTGCATCTCAACTACCTAAAGTGCGCATTTCACCAAGCTGCTAAGGTTACTCTCGAAAGGTGATCAAGTTAAAAGTAGTTATATCACTAAATACACATCTATAGATTGCCGCAACATTAGAATTGTAGGCAAAGCTCCACCCGCAAAATGCAACACCCCGCACAACACTCAATGGGCAAACTGGGTGTCGGGCAGAGCTTCATATTTGTAGGCATCAATCTTGGAGGGATGGATAATAATGGCTGTACACTTGGTAAGGGGCTGTAGGTTGCACCACATAGCCTAAGAAAAAGGCACTGATGGGTGGCCCTCTCTAGAGCAACTCATTTTGGGCACTCGGTGCAGAGCGGCTGCAACTTGCAATCGTTGCGATCCAAGCAAACAAAAAAAAAGTGACTTCCTCCTGAGTTGTGGAGTTGGCAAGCTCGAGCGATGTCGCTTGGCTTTGTAGAGGACCGTTCTAACATTCCTGGAAGATGGTGGCTCTAGTCCCCCCTTCCCACAACGGCAGAAAAATGGCACATCGTTACCAAGCGACACCACTTTTTCTCTCTGGGAGTTTGAGTGCAGGGCCTCTCACGTTTCCTATGTTAAAACACTGTTGCTGGAGTTTCTTAAGGCCCGTTCACACACTAGCAACTCCTTGGAACCGAGTGCCTTGAAACCTCTTAAAATTTCTTAGGACAAGAGAACACACTGGCACGCTGGCGCCACCTATGCGGGGACCCTGGAACTGCATTTCACTAAAGCGAAGGTCTTGTGGGATTTCCGAGGTCAAATGTGCGTAATACCTATGAGAAATGGTCGTTTATAACATTGACAAGTTTTTCGAGCCAAGAAAGTAAGGATGATGTGCGAGAGAATTAAAAATTTTGTGGAACCGCCAAGTTTACACTGTTACCCAACACATGGTGCCAGTGCCCTCTCGTTACAAGAGATTTTAAGAGGTTCCAAGGCGCTCGGTCTTTAAGGGGGACACTACCAAAAAACAAAAAAAAAAAAATTGACTTCTGCATAAAAAAGCTAATTTTGAAAAATGTCATATTTACACTCACTTCTTGGCATAAATTTCACTTTAGGAAAACTATCGTTTTGTTATTACGTAACTTGGTTGATTTTTACGAGATTTTCTGGGTGAAATTTTCAGAGGAAGGTAACTATGAGCTTGTATTTCTAATGACTGATGCACATTGAGGATGATGGCTCCACTGCAGTGATCTTATCACCGTGGAAACAACTTGCGAACTCTATTACTACTGACCCACATGCACCCAAGAGAACAAACACGGCATTCTGAGCAAAATACTCTTGCCGCGACTGCGTCAGACCACAGGAGTCTGGACTCGAACCTGTGAGGCTTTCTGCCAATTAACCACGTTTCGTTTAGTAAAAATCAGCGATGATCGCAGAAACAAAAGCAAAACCAACGAAGCCCACCGAGCATTCCTGGAAAAAATTAACTGCTATTGACGCCGTCCCGGTCGTGTTTGGTTGATTCCTTCACGAGCAAGGGATAACGAAAAGAAAAAGGAGCTTATAAACTTACTCATTGCAACCTGAAAAACCTACCACCGCAGGAGCAGAGATCTAACGATAACCTTGCCTCGCCTACCTCTCTTCCAACTATCGTGCACTACAAAATCAAAAGTAAGCCAACCAAAAGATTACAAAGTAATTTGGTGCGCAAAAAAGGCGATTCAGACGGTTATAAAAAAAATTAGATTTATTATTTATTAAATTTATAATACCTTAATATAGTTATTTTATTTACTATAATGTAAAACAAAATAAATATTTAATGTTTTACTCACGTGCTCCGAGTGAGCCATGGAGCACGTTACGTGCCTGTGCGTTCGCGTCAGTCCGGCCGATGCGCAGGGCGACGACGATTGTTTAGCCGTCTGTCGGTTTTCTGGAGGGGTAGGCTTACTGTCATGGCTTTGAAAAGGATCAACAAGGTAAACCACCCGAATCTCTCGTTTTCCCGAGTTCCGCCCCGTCTCGTGCGAACGGTAGAACGCGCCGAGTGACCCAAAACGCTTTTGTAGCGAACCTAAGGTCATGCCGCTAGAAGACGGCCTTGTCAAGGTGGTTATAGGCTTACCACTCATCCAACCGGCTTCGGTGAAAACGGCACCTTTATTTTATTTTTTCTTTATTTTTAATTCATTCGCCTCGCATGTTTCACGAATGTGGCGAGCTTCTAAGTGCGTAGCTTCGTGTCATTTTCGTTCCGAGAGCGGGACTCTGAACCCAGGGAAGGACTGGGACGGACTGGTCTTTGCACCTCGTCGTTTTTGATGGGCATGCCATTGAGGTGTAGTGGCGAGGCTCCCCTGCGCTTCCTGTACACGTCTAATTACTGACACAATTTTGGGGCCAAAAAGGTCGCGCATTTGTGGCGATGACGCCTGCTTTATGCCTCCTTGCGAACCATGTGACTCGAGGTGCGACACGCTAGCGAGGAAGCTCGGCCTATCTCCACGTATTGCTTCGGAAACGCGTTTGATAAGAAGCGACCAGGAACCTTTTATAAAGTAGCTAGTCTTTAAAAGTACCGAACAATGTTCCCGAAGGCAGGCGGACGGGCGACGTGTTTGGAATTAACGAGAGCGAAGCTAAGCAAAATAACGAGGCAGATTTCTTTCCCCCCGAAAAGATGAATTGCGCGTTTCAGTCCCCGTTGTTCCCAAGCGCGCGCCTGTTCATGCGTAGACTTGTCGGTAAATTCGTTAGGACGGGAAGACATTGGCGCGTGATTTCTTAGTAACCGATTTATCTCGGCGGCGGACAAATTGTATTATTTTCTTTCGTCGAATCGCTTCTTGCTGCTGCAAACGCCCGCGTAACTTGGGTGATTACAAGAGCTTGCGTGAGTCACTGGGAGCGGGGTCGCTCTGTGACGACATGCCTACGTCACACCCCGAGGTCGTAGCTTGCCGATACGCTTTCAAAGGACAGGTGGAGGGGCATGCTGGAAAATCGCGGAACGAACCGCCCCAATGTTTGGCTGTGTGCGCGAATAATTTTCCTCTCGTTTCTTTTCTTGTTTTACTTTACTTTAATGTGGATCCTAACACAAACAACGGCAACCAATCTAGCCCGACTTTCGAGACGCCCTAAAGGCATGATTTAAAAGTGGTCGTCGACTGTAATGGAATGCTTGCATGCAATAATGCGTAGAAATTCGAATATTGACTGACCTCTCCCTACGAGTTGATTAGCTTTCCAAATTGGTTGCCCCTACGAGCCTCTCTGAGCTTGAGTTCATATGGAGTTGGGACTGTGGGACAAAGAAGTCAAACCAGTTTCCAACTGCGGCAAAGCGTCTGCCTTTTCTTTTCTTTTGCTTTGGATGTGAGCCAGGCCAGGTTGGATCACTGTGTGAAGTTTTTAATCTCCACCATGGTACTTAATAACGTCCAGTTGCCAGATTTGTTGTGGAATGTTTGTCATTGAGTGCTACCCTCTGCCTTTTTTAAAACCCTGACACCCAACTTTGGGTGAGCTTGGCAATGGTTCCAAGGGAAGTCCTTCCAAATCGAGGTAGATCTTTTTTTGGAGTTAATTAAAATTGTTGCCAATATAATTTTTTCCCTCGTTGCGGTTTTATTGTATGTGGAAACTTCGATCAAAAGAGATACCGAAGGACGAGGGTTTGTGTCCGGTGGCAGTCCAGCAACCGGAAGACGAGGTGCATTAATTTGAATATTGCTTCGGAGTTTAGCGGACGTGCGTGACTCGTTATTTCAGATGGCAGTCCATGTTGCAACAAGAGTATTTTACTGCATATGCCATCAGCATGTGTGTTGTTTTGTAATGTATAACATGGTGCACACCGCGATAATCGTAGGTAGATCTGGTCAGAACCTCTGTTGCTAAAGCCATGCATGTTTTTGCTGACCTAATTGCACACAAGTGACTGGTCTCTTTCTGCCTGACCCTGGATCCTTTGTGCAACTTTGACACTGCAAGCACTGTATGCTTTGCCAGATTTTTAATATTTTCTCAGTGTTTGCATGCGGTGGTTTGTGGCTGGATAGCTCTGAATATTGCAAGATTTGGCAGAGGAATGAGTGAAGGCCTGTCGATGCAGGAGCGTTTACTTGTTTTCTTCCGTTACATTAAGAGTCGCCAAGATATTTGTGCCTCGTAGGTTGCATGCAAAGCTACTTCTTGGATTGGTGCCACGCTTCACACGAGGCACGGATGTCACGGTGACAGTAGACTTATGCGGAGGCTAGCTGCCATGACATAACGCGACGTAAGCAAGCAGTACTCTGTGATCGGTCACTAGAGGAGTTTCTGAGATTGTCTGTTTATGGTTATAACTTGGATCTACGACCTCTAAGCATTCTAGGAAAAAAAAAAAACAAGATTAGATTGATACCTGTCAGATTTCCCTTAGCAACGGGATCGCAGCAAGTCTATTTTCTGCAGTTCAGCACAGAAACCAGAGGGCGCCATCGGACGTGTCAATGTCAATTACTGCTTTCCGCACTGCTACCATGACAACCAACGGCGGACTGATTTTTGAATGTGCAATTCGTTCGCAGGAAGCAATCGCTCGTGATCGCTTTTGCACATTCAATGGCGCCCTCTGGTTTTTGCGCCAAATCGCAGAAAAACTAATGTCTGCAATCTTTAATCCTGTCATTAATAGGAAAATTTGGACTCTTAATAAATAATTATGTTGCATTATACAGCCGGAAGTTAGTCAGTCTCAATGGATGTCTCGGCTGTACGTGAGAAATTTAGCCAGTGCTGTACAACCGCTAGCCTGGGGTCTTTAAAGGGACACTGACACCCCCCCAAAAATTTTTTTATTTTTTCGGAGGACTACCCAATTAATATTTTGCAACAGAGTAGCGTATTTCTTTAATAAAGCCAAAAGACGCAACTGCTCGAAACCGAAACCCGACGGAGGTCGGAGAAGTGGAGAGAAGAGAGCGACTGGCGGAAGTCGCGTGGCTACACCCAACCGTGCGGTTTTTTGTTGTTTTTTTTCTCCTCTCCGGTAGCAGACGACACGACATGCGGCGTGCGATGCGGCGTGCGGGAACAGCTTGCCGTGCGATTCTTTTGCAGTTATGTTTGTTCCGCTCGTTGTTCTGTACTCCAAGATGAGTTGTTTTGTACATTGAGGAGTTGGAGATGAGTAGTGAGTGCCCGTGGTGAATTTCCATGATCGGCTCCGAAAAGAATAAACCCAAGATGTTGCGTGAAGAGCTGGCTCACATGTCTTGCATCCGAAAAAAAGTGGCATTGTGCGACAGAGTTTCCGAAAGATCAATGGTATCGGGACCAATGGCTGGCTGCAATTCCTGTAGAACATTTACGGGCACCTCGGAAAGCGGACGCTACCTGATTTATATGCTCCTTGCATTTTGTGGAAAGTTATTACATTGAGTTCGCAGGTGTCAAAACGGAAATCCCATACCGTTTAATTCAGCGAAGTATCGTCCGCAACATTTGTTTGTTATTTTTTTGTTCGTTTCTTCAGTGATGATTGTAAAAAAAAGAAAAAGGTGTGTAAACATTGAAAAATGTTTAAAAAAAAAAATTCACGGGGGATCGAACCCGGCCTCACCGCGTGTGAAGCGGACGTCTTTCCCACTGAGCTACTGGGGCAACTCGTTTCTGGTGAATCTCTTTCCTTAGTAATAATTCAGCCGGTAAACTGTAAGTTGGAAAGTTTGCTGTCGATTTTTCTCTAGCAAAAGCACTCCCGGGTCGAAGTCGGGAAGCACCACGCTTTGGGGACATTCGCACCTAGTAAAGAAATCGTACGCGTACATATTCAACTCGAAGTAGACACGTCGTGCTTGACGTTTGCGCGAGTGATGTCTTCAGCCACGAGAAGGGAGCGACGGCTCGGCGACGTCTTCGTGCAAATCGGCTTGGTGGCCGGGCGTGTCGTACGGGATGAATACCAATTCTTTTGATCAGTCCCAAATTTCTCTTTTAACGGTAGACAGAATTCGCCGGTACCGCGAACGACAGTTCTGAAATAGAGGTCCCACGCCCGTCGTCCGCTGCCATCGCCGTCCCCGCGAGTCCCACGATACGCGAAACGACGAACGCACAGAATGCTTCCGGTTGTCTGTGGAACTTTTTTTTTCAATCAACGTATTTACAGCTTTTTAGAAGCCACAAAAAATGGGTTTCATATTTTTTTCTATTTTTAATATTGAGTGTGTGCCTTCAGTGACCCACGACTTTGATTAAATTTGGTGGTCGCATCGATACCTTAGAAAACGGCCCGTGACCGCGAAAAAGAGAGTGAGCGAGAGTCGAACCGGCCAATTCTTGATCGGCGGTTTTCGGGCGGAAAGAAACCGAATTTCAAGCCGCAAATTCTGTTCTGGGTAGTTGAGCTTTCATATGTCACCTACAACTAAAAACCTCGGCTAGCATAAATACCCTGTCAGTGTCCCTTTAATGTTCACCATGCAGTAGTGACGCACGACCGACCGCATACCGGTACGATGCTCATCCAGATGAAAATGGGCAGGTGTGGGGATTGAATCCAGGATCTCTGGGTTCTGCAGCGCAAGCTTTTGCTCCATGCTCTTCGAGCTGCAATGTGCCAACGCGCTCAACCACCGATACCCTAAAATTGCTCATTATTGGGATTCTCTAGAATGCTTAGAGCTCGTAGGCTGAGTTGTGACCATAAATAGATGATTTAGAAACCGCTAGTGTCGTGGCATGGTGGAGCCAACTCATTTCTCACCGCAGGAGCTGCAGGATCTGGGACGAGACCCCCCAGCACAATGTTCGGCAGGTCCAGTAGGAGATGATCGTGAGTCCTGCTTCTGCTTTTTTGTTCTTTCGGAATGTAGTGACCCTCACCTTAATTAGTGCGCTGTGACGGAATGAATGCCTTGCATGTGCTGTCGTTCCGCAGTGCTGGCAATCATTCCTGCCCGTTTCTTGCTCTAGAAATGTTGCTTCAGAGTGTATAAAATTGACGCTGCTAAGAAATCTCTTGTGGCTCATAAACCACCAGGGTGGAAGGTCGAATTACATAATGCAACCCAAGTTGTACTTAGTTTCACCTAATGTTGTACTGCAGTGAAGGCTAGGAGCACGAGCTTTTAGCGTTGGCAGCTGCCCTTAATGCACAAGTGCTTATGCCACCGAGATGTATCCTAGAGCAAGGTGCTCACGCTTGTAGCCTTTACTGCAGTACATCATAAGATGAAATAGAGAATAGGTAATACCAAGGACCTGATATTGTTTGATCAAAGTTCACTTCTTCCTTAAAAGGAGAGGAATGTACTTGCACAACCTTTTCTCAATTTACAACCCGATTCATTTTGCCATGACATGTACTAGACGCAGATGCTTTTTTAACTTTTATTCTATAGTGCAAAACGGTTTCCTTTATCACATACATTTATTCATGCCGTAGCACAGGGCAGCTACGTTCATTAAACACAAAGTGGGGCTGAAGTTCGCGGAGCGTGCTGTATGGACTCTCACGACGATGGCGTCACGTGGGATGGAGCATCAATCATTCAAACACACTCTGTACTCAAATTCCAGCGAGTTTGTGAAACACAAAGTCGTAGCGAGCTTCATCAGAGCGTGCATGAGCAGCTGTGGGACCTTCAGATTGAATGGCTGCACTGATGACGTTGTGCCCGCATGTCCGTACATCCCTTCGCCGCGTTAGAGTCAATGCTGCCTAAATCTTCCCTAGGCGGGCTGTGAATACTCTGAGCTTCTGAACTTTCTCGTCGCAAGATTGTTGTTTCTGGAAGTTGTTGGTAACGACAAATTGACGTTGTGCAACTTTGTGAAGGAGTTATTTGTGGCCAAAATCTTTGCTTCGGTATTGAGGCGAAGATTGAACTTTGTGATATTGTGTAGCCGTGCGCGGTGTACGCGGACTTATAGCTCTTGCACCACTGTCAACAATTTTACGTGGTTCACCGAGAGACGGTTTGGGTAGTGACGTCGGTAGCGTTTGTGAGATAAGGGGGCGAGAAAAAACCTGTGGAAGGGAAATAAAGAGGTATGACCAACACACACACAAAAACAATTAGTGGTCAGGAAGTGCCGTAGATAATGTTCGGCAGAGAAAGAGGTGGGGAAAGGGGGGGGGGGGGTGATATTAGTGAAGGGGGACCTCCCTTCCCCCAAAGATTTTGATACTTTTCTGAAATGTCTGTGCACTAAATGGGAAGATATGGTCTGGGGCTATCGCCTCCCCCCCTTACCCCTTTCTGCCCCTTGCCCCCTCTTCCGATGCCTCTGGGGGAGGGTGAGGTTGAATCGTCCCATCCCCCTGTTTCGATGTCTCTGCATGGAGGCGCTGCAACTGCATGACAACGAGGAACAGCAAACCGTGCAATTTTCCAAATAATGGCTATAGAGGTCCTGGAAATCAAACTGTTTGCACTCTTGTGAACTCACAAACAGCCATAACAGAATTCCAAGTGAGAGGCTCGTGCCAGGGCTCGTAGCGTGCAAGCGCGTTCAGTGATTTCATTTTATAGTTCATACCCCTGACGTCGTGGTCAGGATTGTCAGTTACGAATGACAAATTTGATGGTGCGTGTTTGAATCAACGGTGACAAGTTTGTGTACAATGGAAGCTTACAGTCATCACATTCTTAAAACATCCGACCGTCAATATTGACCAACTAGACATTACTCTTATTTTTTATGAATGCAGAATTCATCCCACTTCGCCTAATCTTGGAAAACCGACCGCATCGACGCTTTCGGTAACCTACGTGGCCAATAGTCACTACTTAGGAAAAAAGCAGTAAAATTATTTAATCCCGCTACCAATCGGGGGGAAAACTGCCGAGGCGAAATCCATCCGATGGCAAGCAATGCTACTCGGCTGGTTCTGACCTAGCCACTTTGGGCTACAGTTTTGATAATATCCAAAAGGTGGAGAGGAAGGAGAGGAATGGCAAGGGTGTTATTCAGGAAATTCTGCTTTATTGGTGTAAATAAGAGTGATGTCAGACTGTCAACTTTGACTGTGTTGATTTTAGAATGCTATTACCCCAAGCCTCTCCCGTGCTTTTTTAGAGACCATCAAGGCATCTGGGTCGCAGCTGATAATCTAATTGGTCATGTCACATGCATGAACCATGGTAGTTTCTGCGCACTCTCTCGTGCTGCTCTTGTTTGGCACCGAGAAAGTGGTAGGGGAAGTTTTTGCCCTTTCAGTGAAAAACGTCACGAAGATAAGCTGATCTGCGGGTTTGTGAGAAAAGAAAACTTTGGGGCATTCTTTCGGCCACTCCCCCGCTACGTCATAACGCAAATAACCTTTGTGTTCATCGAGTTCGGCGACCCTGGCATGCATACAGCATGCCAATGCTACAGCACAGCTGGGATAGGCATGATTGTGAAAGTTGCTTCTATAAAATACCTAAGATGCAGTTAGCAGTTGCTCATGCAAAAAGTAACTTGAGGTTTGTACATAGTTATTCATTTTTAAAAATATAACAATGTTTTCTATTTTCATGTTGGGCTTTTTTTCCCCATGTTTCTTACTGTCCGCCACTAAGGCGAGGTCTGTGCCATTCTAGGCTGTGTAGTCCCTCTGCTTCAGTGAGTCTAGGGAACCTTCTGTTCTACTGCAATAACCTTAGCCTCTCCGCCTTTGCCGACACTTTCTATCGCTTCTTTGAGAGACCTACGGGGAAAAAGTCTGATACGAGTCATGTGCTGTCCCAGATAGGGCAGAAACGTGGGGCAGACTCTGTACAATTCGACATTAGCATTTGAGACAAAATTTATAGATCCTGCCATCAAGCGCCGAAAGCGATAAATAGTATCAGGTGGTGAGGAGTATTAAAACTTTGTTCATCAGAAATAATGCTAGAAACATTAATGCAGAAATGCATTGAAGAGGTTGGGCTGTACAAAAAAAGAAATTCTGTTAGCTTTACAGACAATGAAGTGATGATAGCAGACAAGTGATTCACCAAGGCAAGATTAATTTCAAAAGCTGTCCTGCAATGGGGAAAAAGAGAAGTAGCCAAGTAAAGGTTAAAGCTTTGCAGTTAATTCAGGTAAAGACCCAGGTTGAAAACAAGCAGCAGGACAGCAGAAAGAATAGCATACACTTTCCTTGCTTTGAAGTCCGAGCTGTCACGCTTGATGTTTAACTTTTGAAATTTTCAAACATGGTAAATGTGATTCTCTGGGCAATCTTCAAGCAAATGCGAATGCTGGTTCACACACTTGCTTTCCATTGCAATGTCTTTCGAAAAGGACACGCTGACGCCATCTTTGGGGAGGTTCTGGAATCTCATTTCACTAGACTGAACGTTTTGCAGTATTTGCAAGATAAAAAGTACATATTCTTTAGGAGAAATAGTTGTTTATAACATACTTTGATGTCCCGAAAGATGCCCCACCCCTGTAAGGTAACCCTCCCCTATTTTTGACAAGGTTTGCTATTTTTTTTCAAAAACAGGTAGTTGCAGTGCCCTTGCCATAGTGTTGAACCAAAACCGAACCGAAAACTTGAACCGAACCATTATATTTAGCTAAACCAGAACTGAACCAAACCATAATCTTCGTCGCCATCTTAGAACTGAACCAGAACTTGACCCTAAAAGAAAAATATAACGGTAACCGGTTCAAGACGGTTCACGGTAATTCTTTAAATTTTTTTAAGTATCGCAAATAAATACTTGAGAATAAGAAAATCAGTTTTATTTCTCTGTATTATCAAATCGTCATTACAGAATTGCAATGTATGAGAAATTTTAAATTTTCGTGGCACTTTTGTATTAGCACTATGATTTATTATGTGTAACCTGGTCTTGTGACGTCAGGGTGTCAAGACATGCTTGCTGTCAAGTAATGTAACGTCACCGGTGACTCACTGAGTCCAGTTGATTTAGTCAGTCGCTAGATTTATTAGCGTTGTTGACACTGTGATGTCACATGACATCACGACTTCACACTTCTGGTCACGTGACACCATGATATACTCGATTGTCATGAGCTCAAGTCGGGTGTTCAGGTTCATCACTATCAGCATTGCCAAACATTCATTTAATGGCTTGTGTTCAATCAAAGATCACAGATGGGAATAGCCAAAATCTAACAATGTCTGAAGCTCATCCCATGCTCTATGCCAGGGGTGGCCAAGCTGCGGCTCTTCGTGTGTTAAAGTGCAACTTGTGGCTCCCTCCCCCCCCCCCCCCCCACGCACACACACACACACACTTTCCTGCGTTTTAAATCGAAAGACAGGTTGCGGTTTGACAGTCTTGTGCTACTGCTACCTTACATACAGTTGGACTGCTTTTGAAACGAATAGATTGAAAGTAGTTTGAGTTTCATTTATTGCTCTAAACAAAAGTTAGCCCCCCCCCCTCCCCCTCCGCCCGCGGCTCTTGGAAGTTACGTGGTTTTGTTTGCGGCTCTTAGGCTGCATTAACCTGGCCACCCCTGCTTTATGCTTTACCAGCCCCAGTACATAACTGTTATGAACACTGACAGTATATAGTTAGCATCAGATCACATGGCCACTTGTTCTGATTGCGAGTTGAGGAGGGGAAAGCTGTTTCTGTCCTTTATTTTTTCTTCGTCTGCCATTGTGTGAAGAGGAAAACTAGTGTGTGTTTTTGCAAGTTATCACCGTCATGGATAAGTTCTAAGCGGCATTTACTGAAAGTCCAAAAATGGTCGTACAACCCATTTTACATGTACACCTCATTGAAGTGCTCGAATGTGTTTTCATTGTTGCTGAACTGCTTCAGAAAGTGGTCCCCGATTATACAAGTATTGAAAGGGCTAAATATATTCAAAATGGAA